GCGTAAAGCAATAAATTCCTTTTGACTATGACCTTAGAATCAGCACAATGGAGTCAGTTTTCTAAAATAATTTTGATTAATGGAACTTCTACCAGGTTAAATTCTGATCAATATTATGAATAGATATTTCCTGCTGTATATGTCATTTATAGTTTTTATGATGTTAAAGGCATAATAATATTGATTTGCATTGATATGGTAGAAATACTTAGTCTAATGAATTGCATTCATCAAATTGGATATGACTCAGGGATAACAATAATTATTACTGTAAAAAATTCATTAATAATGATTATATTAGTAACAAGATATATTGCAAATATTGCATGTAGGGGTCAACAATTTTTCTTGGTTACAATAAATAAATAAACCATGCACTGAGAGGCTCCTATAGAAATTAAATACTCTCTGAGGTGACCAACATAGCACTGTATTCAGAATGGCGCATCCTCAAAGAAAATAGTAACCGTCCTTGTCACCGAAGAGAATCCATAATTTTACCTGGTGCCTCAAAAACAGGGCCTGGTATATTTTATTTATATCCTTCATTGAAAAACAAACTAAGGGGTAAACTATTCATAAAGCTAAAAATGTCATCTAATCACCAGTTTTGTCTGAACTAATTAAGACAAGAAATATGAAAATATTTCTAAAAGAATGGGGTTAACTTCAATGATATTCTCATTTATCCGTCACATTAGTACACTGTAGGCCATTATGCGTCGCAGTGTGCATACTTTTGCGTGGGGTGTCTGACGTCAAAATGGGTATATCTTTTAAAGTGGAAATGTTTTAAATCACATGAGCTATCCCTGACCACTCCCTGCACTGGAATCCTGTTACAGATGAATGTAATTATGTGAATATATAGACATTGATCTGTTCACATCAGAATAATCTATTCATGCCCTACTTTCACTCTTAGCTGCATGGTCATTAATCATACAACCATTATCTTATTAGTATTCAGCTCTGCTTTGATTTATTTCCTCTGTCGGTGCTTTCTAGAATCTCAAATATGTCCTGTATTAAACTAGGTCTTAATCTGGCTCAAGGCGACAGTGTGTAAATTATTTAGAGTTTGATACCGGTACCCTGTTTCTGGCATTGTGTTGCTACTGTGTACATACAACAGATGACTTCATCTTTTTTCTCTCTCTCTCGTTGTAAATTACATCGTAAAAGTGAACAAATTCCACTCCTTTACAGAAATAGCATTTAGTTTGGAATTTCATTAACCCTCACAGTTTCAAGATGTTGGACATGAAGGATGCAATTAAGGTATAAGATATTGGATTTTGTGATTTGGTTTGTAGTAGAAAATACTATTTTGTAACTTTTATTATTTCTTAATTCACATAACATGAATTTTTAAACATAGGCAATCTAATAGCTGCCTTTGGCTATGAGAAATAAAATGTTTTCAAATTCATGAGAAAGGTGAATTTAAAAAAAACTAATCTAGTAACACAGATTTCAAGGGATGTTTATGAGTAAGATATTCTTGTAAACCAATACTTTGTTTCTTCTAAATCTGTGCTATTTTTAAATTTGTTTTGCATTACCACAATGAAACAGAATCTGGTAATCCAGTGATGCATAAAAAGGGTGATTTATCTTTTATGAGGGGCTGACCATAAAAATTGCCCATGTCATTAAACATTCAGTGGATTTACCCCAACATTGATCCCAATGGGAGACTTCGGTAAGTATGGCATAGCTGACTCACAAAAAGGGAAAGCAGACATAGTGGTCAGAATACGAAACCGTTTGGGGTTTTATGTTCGAGATAGATGAGGGGTCGAATGAAATGAGGTATGATCAAAACTGGTACGGGATATCTACTTGAGAAAGATAGATGATAGCAGGATGGTGGATGCAAAAATAAAAATGTACTAAACAGAATAAGGAATTGGCAGGTTGTAGGTTTATATCTACCATAGATGGTTCAGGGATCTAATATTATTTAACACTTTTGAAATTTAGGGATATCTCTAAAATAAACAAAGTATTTATTCTTATGGTTTTATTATCACTATATGATATCAAATAGGTTCGCATTATGTTTAATGCCTCTGTAATTATGTTTCAAACGTTTAATATTTACTTGATGCCTAATTATTAAGAGGAAAATGTATGCATACATTTACAGTGGATGAATATTTATTCAATTAATTGAGAGAAATGCAATTTAAGTTTTCTGTTTTATAGGAGCATTTCTATATATACACAATTAGGTTAAGGGTATTTTGAGAAAGACCAACTACTTGACTGTCATCTAGTTCCTTTTCAGGGAGGTTCAATAATGTATTATTCACTGTTCCGAAAAGGAGTTTGAATCAGGCTAAAATGGGTCTTTGAAAAGTGGCAACACTCTTTTTTTACCAGTCTTCCCCTCAAACCTGGCCTCTCTTCAAAATTTCAGCAGCATACGAAACATGACAGCTTTGTCACCTGGGTGCCATCAAGGTCCAGGTAGTGCAACTTAGTTAGAAAGGTCACGATAAGTTAAGTTCATTATGTTATGGTTTGTGTCAAATTCGTCCTGTCTTTCTGCCGGAAATGAAGATGTGTTTAGGGAGTAATAGAGGGTGAAGTTTAGAACCTCCTCTCCAATTAGTGCAAGTCTGAGAGACACTATGTTCTTGCTATTGGAATGATGGTGGTAAGGTGGCAAGATGCACCTCAGGTCTGATATACGGGTAATAGGGTAAGAGTAGGCCAGCCCCCACTCCTTTAATGTTTACAAACCTTCTAGCAGAGACTTGAAATGTGTCTTTGGTATATAGATGATTGTATCTAGTTATCTACCATCTATGACAGTCGTTCAAAATGTTTCTGGATAGAAGTGGCTTTTCTTATGATTTTTCGCTGATTTGTCGCTACCTGTGATGAACCTAGGTCCTTATCTGATTTGATTTCAGTATTATTATTATTATTTTTGTTGTTGAGAGGGGGTCGAAATTACCCGTATGTGCAAACTCTGCAAGTACATTGTGGTTAGGTTATAATGCTAAGTCGGCTAATTGTTTTGTGTGGAATATTCATACAATAGCTAACAGAATTGTAAGAATGAGGAGAATTAGATCATTTCCTGAGAGCCAGAAGAGTATTAACTTCATTTTTTAATAAATGTGAGTTAACGCCTTTCTAGCTGACAACAGACAAAGGAGCAGGTCAGATTGTATCTTATTTTGCCCAGTCTTGTATAAAAAGCCACCTGTAAGCAAGGAAGGGCAATATCGCAAACGTGTCACAGTGTCTGCACCAAGTAATAGCTCTTTCTAGCTTCAGAGGTTCACCTCAAGGTATTTTCTTCCCGATTTTCTTAGTCGATGATGTATGAGTAGAACATCACGCCAGCCTGCTGATGTACAGGGTGCCTCAGCAAAATAGGACAACCTCAGGCAAAAATTATATGCAATTGCGTGCACCAAGTAATAGCTCTTTCTAGCTTTAGAGGTTTACATCGAGGTCTTCATCTTTGGTCACTTATGCCTGAGTCTCAGGAAGATTGGTAATCTTTAGGCATAAAATCATATGCAATTGTCTGCACCATGTAATAGCTCTTTCTAGCTTACAGGTTCACCTCAAGGTATTTTTTTCCTGATTTCTTAGTCAGTGATGTATGAGTAGAATATTAGTCTATTCTTTGGTTAAATAGGGTGTCCCAGCAAAATATGATGATAATCCCAGGCTTCAAATAATGCGCAAGTATTACTCTAGGGCATACCAAATATATCTGTCTGTCGTTATAACCATATAATAATCATGATGGTAAATAATCTAATTCCTTTTTTCAAATGATCATCCTGGAGTATGTTTCATTCAACAAATATCAGATTACTACTAAATGAAAAGTGTAATTATTCACCATAAATTCTATTTCCCAGGAAATATTTCATTGTTTTTCATTTAAGTTTATCATTATTGTTGTAATATCATGTTACATTTTCTAAGAACCATTACCTGAGTCAAGCTCTGGCAAGTTTGAGATTTGTTATAATTAACTAATAAGTGTTACTTCATTTGATTATCGTGCGTGTAAAGTTCATTTTAAGAACTGTATCATTGTAAGCAACATATTTGTATGTTGTATCATCAAGTGAATCCATGCAGTAGACAACTATGTCCTAAGTAAAGCTCTTCGGAAAAGTATTTTATTATGGATGCCATTTCTTTGCAATGCATGTTACCACTTAATACTGATAACTGCCATGTTATTTCATGAGTGACTCAAGATTCACATTTTCTGCCATTTCTCTCACATTTCAGATTTCTTTTACAAGTAACTTTTTATTCATATCAAAAGATTTTCACCTCACTTGTCTGCATTTTTGTAGATATTGTAAGAGCATGACTATGTACTACACTGATTTGAATGAATTTACATTTTCCATCAAATATCTTTTTATAAACTTATACAAATTAATTTTAATTAGCATGATAATAGCATGTTGCAAATTTAGGAATATTTTTGATATATATCATCAATTCTTTTTCTGAGGCTTTTTCCCTCATTCTTGCTTTGTAAGATTGTGTAACTCTTCTTTTGTCCCTTATCCATTGCCAACCAAACAGGAGCAGAGTTCTTCTTACATGTACTCTCCTTAAGCATGATGAGGCTGCAAGTTGAAATATGATTCCTGGATCTAAACCACTCCCAAGTTATGTAGATTTGCATAATTTTGAAGAAGAAATCATTTAAATGTGATCACTTGATCAATACTTAGGCAAATCCAAGGAGATTTGTCCCATACACTACAAAGTCCCAAACTACTTCAAAGATTTTAGTATATCTGATGATGGTACAAAGAGTATAAATAATTTTATATGGGACACAACATGATATGACATACCTTGGGATTTCCTTCTTACATTTTTTTGAATTTCATGTTTTGGTTCTCTATCCTTCCTTGTTGTAAACAGTTTGCTTTCATAAGATAAGTTCACATGCCCTTGCTGTTATGTAATCCTATTCTGTATCTTTCACCCGACAGACGGAGGGGACGCTTTCCCTGAGCTTCCGAACCAACGAGCCATCGGGCGTGATCATGTACAACCGAGGTGCTGATCACATCACAGACTTCTTTGCTCTGGAGTTGATGGACGGCTATCTGCACCTGATCCTAGATCTGGGATCTGGATCTATTCGCTATAGGGCCGATTCTCTCCCTCTCAATGATGGGCTGTGGCATTCAGTCCTGCTCTATAGGCATCATAATAGAGGAACACTGCAGGTAAAGTAGTGATGAATGTATTGTCTTGTGTTTGAGGTCGGTAGAAGTCATTCAGCTCAACCATTAATTAATTCCCTTCACTGGCTTCCAATTCAACAGCGAATCATTTTTAAGTTACTCTTATATGTCTATAAATCATTGCACCACCTAGCTCCTAATTACCTGTCTAATTGTTTAACTTTATATACACCAAGCAGAAATCTCAGATCTTCAAATGATAACCTCCGTCTAAATTATCCAATTACACGTGTCCAAGCCGGGGATAGGACTTTCACGGTAGCAGCATCCAAAGGGTGGAATAATCTCCCCATGTCCATCAGACAATCTGCCTCTATCGATATTTTTAAGAAGGCTCTGAAAACTCATCTCTTTACATGAATTCTCCTCTATGTTTAATTATTTAATTTAATCAATTGAATTTAATATTTTATATGGAATATCTAATTGTAGCCTTTAATTACTACATGTAGTAAAGACCAATAATATTATTTGATGTTAGCGCTCTGAGCCTTATGGGAATGGCGCCCTAAATGTTCATTGTATTGTATTGTATTGTATTGTATTGTTTGTGTTTAACGTACAGCATAAATGTTCAAGAATCATAACAATTACAGTATTAAATTGCTTAATCAGAAAGAAATACCATTAGTTGATGAATCTATGGTCTGTATGTTCTAATGCTGAATATCCTGGTCCTGTTGAATATTACAGAAAGAACCTTACATACAGGGCATCAATATCAGTGGACATGGATGGACATTATTAAAGATGGCAATTTTGCAATAGATAAAACCAAGAAAAAAATTAAGGGGCATTATTTTTGGAAGTTCTTACTGATGATACATGCAAATCATGTGAAATGATGGAGCACTAGGAATAAGTGGAGCAAATATTTATTAAACTATCATTTGTGGCCAATGACATTGGAGGAAATTAATGCTAAGTCAAGTAAATAAATACTGACTTACCAATTACGAAATAGTAGTAAAGAAAACATCTGTAACATGATTATATTTTGAAACAACAATAAATTTTGTTCTTCATATCATCGACTTCTTACAGCATTTCAAAATACTTTGTTACTACATTTTTCTGTCACTGCTATGACTACTTGTATGAATCTCATTCCTGTCATTCACAGATTGACAATGAAGACCCAGGCAAGTTTAACGTTGGAGGTACAAGTAAGCATCTCAACCTGGTGGACCATCTGGTGCTGGGAGGAATTGATTTTGTGAATGATTCTAACTTCTTACCAATGGACCTATACAGTGGGGCATTGAGGAGGGGCTACGTAGGGTGTCTCAAGAACCTGGTCCTACAGGGGACCTCCATTGATCTTCCTAGCTATGCTCTAAGACAACATACTGGTAATGAGATTGGAGTCTACTGCAGGTAGGTCTAAATGTACATCTTGGAAGTGATCTATGTCCTAGACTAATTATGCAGGTGGTTCTATTTATTGATAGTGTATTATTACAATGAATGGGTATGAAATCTTCTTTTAAGTGCAAGTGGGGCATTAACTCTATATGTAGGGCTATTAGTTTGTTAATTATCATTTAAATTTGTATGATATTTTCTGATGAATTTTTGATAATTTTCCGTTATATTATTTCCTTATTGTTTGATAATTGGTAAATCCACAGTGTAACAATTTCCAAAGTTCTTTGGAAATGCAAAGGAACGTGATGATATGTGCTGTGATGCCATCCAAGAACAGGATAGAAGTGTTTGTTATGATTATCGTACTAGCTTAATCTATTCATGTGTGTATTTTGTTGAAACATATTGCGATCTAGCCTCATCTGTTCTTTGACAATGTAGGGACGAAGAAGGGCAGTGTCCCAGCACCCCTTGTAGTCATGAAGGAACATGCACGGAAGGCTGGAACAGGTATATCTGTGATTGTCGTATAACTGGCTATACGGGAAAGACATGTGACGAAGGTAGGTTACCATGGCAACTAGTCACATTCTACTATTTCTTTGGCTGGCATGTTTCACTCACGTCACTCTAACGCACTGACTGTAGCTTTATTAGCAATTGAAGAAAGTTCTTTACATGTATCTGAAGCGCAGGGGCTGTCTAGACTGAGAATAGCTTATTGGAAAGTGAGATCACATGTGCTGATATGTTGCTGGAGACTTATTCAAAAGCACTGAAAGATATTCATCTAGATCTGCCACACCCGTCTGGGTTCTTGAATTTACCACCCTCACATGTACTTTATTGGTTTGGCCGTTAAAATATGCGATTGCAGTCCTGATCGAATGTTCTTTTGTGAGAAATTACAACTATTCTTCCAAACCTGACTTTGTGATGTAATTTCAAGTTTTCCTCCATACATGGATTGATTCAAAAATGGTGTAATGAAACTATGGATCAAATACTCCAAGAAATTTCTCATTATTTATCAGAACACATTGATGATCTCACTTGTAATATGCAATTTAGAATCATCAAATCTACTGCAGATTTTAAAAAAATAAAGCGAGCTCAAATTATATTCTTGAAAACTTCTTTCTGTTCACTGGATTTAGCATTGATATAGGGCTGCCAGTTTGTTGATATGACAGCAAATTCTTATGTCATATGGACTTCTTGCTTGCTCTTGCACTCAAATTGCTGCATTTTTATTTCTCACACAGTATGAAAGGCAAAAGTATTTGTGAATTTAGGTTTTCGAGGAGTATGTTCTTTGTAAATACCTTGAAATATGGGGATGCACCTTAATATGTTGTTCATTTGCAAACAAGCAAAGGGTTTTTGTGCATGGCATGTGGATTGGATTGCGGTGTATTTTGCACAAAGTTGCTTGAAGATAATACTACTCATCAATACAATGTTGAAGTCTTCTCCTTATCTTCTCCTAATCCATTTGATATAGCCACTGATTGGTACTGCATCTAGGTTGCTTGCATCCAAGAAACCAAGTCTTGGAAACTTTAGTTATCTTGGACCAAATATTTTGAAATGTTAGTTTTGTGTTCAAGAAGAAACTTTTTATTAATGAAACTTGATAAAATTTTGCATATCGACTGATATCAGTTTTGATTGGATCTTCTATCAAAGGAATCAGCAAACACATGGAAGTACCGGGTATGTGAATGTGAGAACGATAGTTAGGTCATGTTGCTATATTTTGGGCATTATGAAAATGTAATCGATAGTCTAGTCCTTTCTACATGTCAAACAAGACCTAGTTGGGGGTGGTAATTAAATGATTGTAAATTTGGAGATTATCAAATTGATGATAAAGCATAAATTTATTTTTCAACAAGGACAGCTATTTACCTAGATGTGATCCTTTCAATGAAGTTGAGAAGATAACTAGTAATTTTCTAAAATAGCAACCTGGATTTGCTTGTGACCTGAAAGCTTATGACATCAAATGGATTCTGAGATAGTAAGGAGATATACTGTCTCTTTCTTCAAATTGCATTTCTTAATTTGTCTATCCTTTCTCTTGAACCCTAGAGCATTTGCACTTGCATGATTAACAAATGCGCATAGTAATAATGGCTTTAGTAGAAATTGATGAAATGCTCAGAGGGAATGGGTAAATTTGTAGATTACCCAATGTTTTTCAACTGTTATGTACATTTTAGATTAGTTTATTCTTCAGAGAGGGTGTCATATTAACTTCAAACTATGTCAAGAAGGGTTTCTTAATGCTGTGTAAAGTAACTAAATAGCCAAGTATGCCTGGCACTTTACAAAAATTGAAAGAAATACATATGAATTGGGTCAAGAAATTTGCCATCTCCACTTTTGAATGAAAATTAGTCAAACCTCATTCTGGAAGACAGATGTGGACTTCAATTCATTGATTCTCACATTACTGTGTTTATTATAAGATAACATCTTTATTTTTCACCTATCAACACTGTATACTGTTATCATTTCAATCAATTAATGGCATTTTATACCTGAGGGTTTTATTCTTAGAAGAAACTAAAATGCAATCTTCAGGGCGTATTATGACACCCTTTCGGATGATACTGCTCTAACATCTAGAATTGTCATCTTTCTACTAACGTTCACATTTGCATGCTTTCCAACTGACTTCAATGGAATGATGGATTTTAAGTTCCCTCACCAAATTGCTACTTGCCTTGTGCCATCCACTCTATTTAACTCTCATTTGTGTTCACATGAGATGTTCCAAAATTGATATACTATCCATCAGCCAAGTTTATAGGTTTCATGTTTGTAAGAATGTCAATAAAATATTCCTTATTTTTAAAAAAGGAAACGGGTAAATGGGTTCTTTATGTATCAGCGGAAACATTCATGAAGTAGATTACCTCATCAAAAACATGGATGATTTTGAGGTAATGGCAAAACTCAATCTCTTTCCTAGCATGATACATTTTTCTTTTTGAGGGAAGGAACATGATCATATATGTTGAAAGAGGATCTAGAGTTGGAATGGAATGTTTTAACCAAAAAAAAAGTCAGTTGGAAAGGCATTGCTGTCTGTTTTGTGACTAATACTGTGTGTGTTCAGCTGTTCACATATGTACACATGCAGACGTCATTATCTTCTTAGTTTGTGCATCTTGACTAATCTTTTGCAGGCTCCTCTGCAAGATCTAACCTTTCTTGATTCACTCTTCAAAACAGCATACTTCTTCTCTCTGCTTTACTCATAGATATTTTACTGGAAGATCTCTTCTTAAACAAGATAACTATCCAGTGAATTTCATTGGCAATACCTGTTATACTACCATTTCTAGTCAATCTAAACACTTTTATTTTTTTTCTTATGTGTGTTAAATCTTTATAAAATAAAACATTACAACGTGTATCCATCTTTAAAAATGATTTCAATTTGTATTTTTTTCTCTCCTTACTATTATTTCTGTTTTGAGATCTTCCAGTAAAATAATAGGAATAGTATCTCCTTTTAGTAACTACCATCCATCCCCATTTTTGCTTCCATGACATCTACTAACAATTCTCTGCTTGCCCCTACTCTTCCAAAAATTGGAATCCTCCTCCTCCTCCTCCTCCTCCATCTTCCATCCTCCTAACAATCTATCCCTCAAATGCTGCATCACTTTCTCACGAAAAATCCTAACCTGCTCTGTCACTCGCTCTGTCTGCTTTTCATCAGTGTTCACCGAGGAAGGAGGTGAGTTTTACTAACATATGTGAGAGCATGTGGGATTTAGGCTAATTTCCTGGAATACATACAGGTACTAAAAATGTGATTTTGTCTTTTTAATGGATAAAGATGCAATAAATTGTAGTGACTTTGATTGTAGATTAGAATGGCTGATGGGTGATTGCATCATGAACTTGCATGCATCTTGAAATAGCATTGAAACAGATTTTTTTTTAATGGTGTTTTTTAAAATAACTTTTTAAGACTCTTAAAAAACAAGAATTATCCACCCCTTCTCTCTCTCTCTCTCTCTCTCTCTCTCTCTCTCTTTCATATTCTCTATTAAAAAAATTCTCTTTTTACCTTTATAAATCTATTATTTATCTATTTATCTGCAAGAGTCTTCCATGAAAGCTGCACTACTTGAATAGAAATAGGACTGGGTCAAGGAACATGAACTTAACCCATCACATACTGAATGATTTCATTCCCTTAGGCTCTATTGGCGCCAACTGGCTCCCATAGCCAATGGGTTAACAACTTCATAATTTCAATTACAGCATCGGCCAGTGGTTTAACCGTTTTTGAAACAACCATAACAATCAAAGTAGATAAATGATTGAGGACTCATTGTGCAGTCAACCAACTGATTACACCTTTGCATTATTAATGAGATCTCAACGGGGGATGGATAGCGCCATGTTTGCAGCTAAACTGAATGGCCTTCATGCATTCTACCAAAGGGAAATGGAATTTTGTTTCGATTCAGTAGAGAAGTGCTCCACCTTTATCACACATTATGTCACACATTTATATGGAGATGAAATTACCAGAATCTTTAGTACTAAATGTATTGGGGGAGGAGGAGGGGATGTGCATTCTAAAGACGTTATATCATAGGCTGGTTTGGCTGCTAGAGCCTCCCCTCAAATTTATTCTTGATTAAAAGATCATTAATAGATAGCTATCCTGCCCTTACATTTGAGTGGTTTTTTCAGTCTAAGCACTGGGTTTTAGAAGTACTAATAGAGCCATGTTATGCTGTATTAGGTTTAAAATCTTCTTTTGTTATCCATGCAAAAGTTCAGAATTCTATTCTTAGATTACCTGAGCTTAGAGACTCAAACTAACACAGGGTACTTTGAAATAATTGCTTGGTTTATATCCATGCGGTAAGTTTCATTTAAATTTAGTCTAGATCATGGAAGTAATCCTATAATAGGTTTCAAATTAACGGACTTTGAATGAGGAACAGTAGATGGGCCACAGTCCCTGTTCTCTTTGACGCTCTGATTCTATAACAATGATAACCTCCCCCTCTTTGCGTCTCCTCCCTCACACAGAGGTAGCACGACTGTCATTCAATGGTAACCAGTACATGCGCATCACGGTATCAGCAAACTCCCGTAGCAAGGTAGAAGACATCTTCCTCAGGTTCCGCACGCGCTTCCCGGACGGCCTCCTGGTGGCGACCTCATCCGATAACGTGATTGATATGCTGATGGTGGAGGTGAAGCAAGGTTTGATACGAGTGATCACCAACTACGGTATTGGTCAGACGATGATCACCGCAGGACACGGTCTGGATGATAATCGATGGCATGCAGTCCATGTCCAGCGGCGAGATGACCGTCTCATGGTCACTGTGGATAATACTGACAGAGCAGAAGGTAAGGACAACTATCTGTTCTGCTCAATAAAAATGTTTTTTATATTCATTTGTTGTTTCTGTTGGAACTCCTCTACTTCTACAAAATACTTTTTGATATACCTTCAGCTTGTCAATTTAAATTACCTTTCTCTCTATTGACCTCATGTGACTCTGTTGCTAATTTTTTTCTATCATCATTATTATCCAAAATATATAACTTTCTTTTCCAGTATCATATATTTCAAGGAGGAAAGAACTCCATTTCTGTGAATATGCATATGATAACCCCTGTGGATGATTATCACATAATATTCAAATGTATATATTTTTCTGTCTTCATGAGCTATACTTTCCTTCACTCACTCTTCCATCTCTCATCAATTTATGAGCATCTCTTATTTTGAAAACTGACAAGAAGGTGTTTATTTGAGTTAGCTAGCAGAAAGTCAAAATCAAAATGTCAGAGAATGTTTTTATGTTAAGATTAATATTATGAATGAATTCAATTAAGTTCTTGTGTTAGTATTCTGTCATAAAATTCTATGACATTTTTCGAAACCGAACCTATTTCAACCTTTGTTAAAATAAAATTTGAATTTCCTTTATCATATAAATGATTTATAACCCTCCACAAGAAGATTTATAACCCTCCACAAGAAGATTTATTTCCATCTAACAGAAACCTGTATTGAAGCTTTAATCAGTCTTTCTATAAAATCCTTGAAAAGTCCTTCATATTCCTACAAGTATGTAGCGGATCCCACTCAGAATAATTTCTCATCGATGGCTTCTTCAAAGCCACTGGTAGGAAAATCCCTCCAAAGTTGACAAAGTTTTGAACCCATTTTATTCCAATTACTAATGTAAGGTGTAAAGTGATGCATCTGCACAGGGTGCAGTATATCCGTTTTGTATTGAAAATTATCCTAATCTATGGAAAGGACTAGTTTTTTGTGGTTCATATACCTTATATGCTTCATTTTCAATCTCTTGCACAGTCTGTTTATCCTTTCTCTCATGTATTTGCCATTTTTCCTTTATCCAGTACTCTGAATTTATCATTAACTATCAATTTCTTTTACCAGATACAAGTTTCTTTTCTCATGCCTTCATCAAATATATAATGGGACTATTGTCTTTATTTCTTATGATATATCCTATTGTTATCAATCTCCTATGTGTTTCATATACTATCTGTTCGGTGTATGAACATCTCTACAGTTATCAGAATTTTATCCTATTAGTCCCATATGCATCTTGTCATGTTAGTCATGTTAGACTCCCCGTACATGTAGCTGTTCCTATTGCATTCTAAATCAGTTTTTTTTTCTTCAGTGTTTGCTTATCATATGTATTCTCATTACAATCATGAACATTCCAAACTTCAAAACAATACTGATTCATCGATCTGCCAGTCAAAATACAAATACATGTATGATGTGGAACAAAATTAATGTGGTATTTGCATTACGTAATTCATCCATTATTAAAGTTTCCAGTCTTTGAATATATTTTTATTTTTTATTTCATATCTGTTTTTATAATCTTTGGGTTCAACTTAAACTTTGATATCTTTTTCCAAACTTCGTGATTATTATAATATCATCATTCATTTGATGGAATTAAGCTATCATATCTTGCAAAATGTTTTAGTTGTCATTTGGTCAAACACTTAATTTAAAAGCTTATGTATCATTATGTCTATGTACTAACATCTGTGTGTAAATCAAATTGTTCAAATACTAACAATCTAGTTTATTCATCTTTACTCCCATTGAGAAGCTTCAAGAAAAGCGCAGAAGAAAGAAATTCAACTAATTTAATTAGGAATGACTATAGACTTTCATTTATCCAGAAACCTATACTTGACTTTATTTGTACTCAACTTATATGCCTCTTTCTTTAATTATGATGAAGGAAAATGGCAAGCCAATTTTCTTATAAATGCTCCTATTACATCTCCATTGAATTCCATATTTTTTTAGATGAGATGGATTTCAGACATCAAGAGAATACATTTCTGAGCTTTCTTGCTTCAAGATGGGTCTTAGTGAAGATGAATATTTAATTTAAGTTTTGTCCAGGTGTATTATCATGTTTATTTTTATTTTTCTCCCATTGATAAAACATTGATAAATCTTGAAACAGATAATGTGCCTCGTCATCCTAATAATGGTGAGATAAATGAAGAACGATCTAGAAGACTTTGATGGTCTGTTTGGACTATTTGGAATGAAGTTTCTTCTTTGTTGAATTAATTTACTGATGAGGCATGATATTCTGACAATTTTGACCTTTCCTTCGATTTTATTTGTTCTCAATGAGGAATGTCTAGTGATGATCGGATCAAACATGATCATTGATTTCTTTTTGTTTTTTATTCAACAAACAGTCTGAGTTATACTTTAGACTGCTTTATTTTCTTTTTAGAGAATGAATAACACAAACCAATACAAGTGCACTTTTATCACAATTCTCACATTTGATAACAACACAGCACAAAACTTTGCATGATTTTTAAGCATGTACCTGCATTGCACCTAGATAGATGCTAATAAATCATTTTTTAAAATTCATTTTGCACTTAGTGGGCATATCATAACCTGTTTGCATTTCTCTTCTTTCTCTGTATGTGACTTATTACTCTTTTTTGAGCTGTAACAAGATATTTTGACGGATATAACCAATTTGAATAGGGCATGAAGCATGCTTTAACAAACTCACTATTATTCTACTAACACAACTAACACAGCCTGGACAATTGTCTAATATTGTGCTCATATATCCAATCTTGTTGATATAGTACTAGCATGTTTACTTTGAAATTCAACTGACTATATTGTGTCACTTTGTTCTGGAAATGTGAATTAATATTTTACAATGATTTATATTTTGAGTGGTCAACAACAAAAAAAGTGATTTCAATCAAAGCCCTCAGACATTACCATGCCATTATTTCAGATTTATTTTTTCGAGAGAACTTTTGATTGTTTTAAACATCGAGAGCCAAAATTAAACAATCATGTTTCTAAAATTACCAATTTCAAGGGGTAAAAAAAAGCTCTTTGTAGGTTTATCTTTCTTGAAAACATTTCTGTAGATTTTCCCTCTTTTCTACAATTCAACCAGAATGGATGCTGCCTTCCAAAACAATGAAAAGCTGCCTCCTTCTTTGATACTTTAAAGAATGGTTAAGAACCAACTTTCAGCCTCTTGCCTGAATTTCTTACTACATTTCTTCCCCACTACTAAAAGTATAGCTGAAAATGCTAGATATCATTTTTCTGGTTTATGCTATGGTTCCTTTTGTCAGATGTCCTTGATTCCAAGTGAGGTTAGAAAGAATATATTACTTGAAATACCTCTGCCAGAATTAATTTTATAAGAAAAGGGGCCCTCTAATTTGTTGATGATGATAATTTTTTTCCATATGAGTCATCAAGAGCAAACCAATTATATTGCTATCCTTAATTTTTTTCTTTTCTCTGTGAGATGAAATTATGGCTAAAAACATGTGAGGCAGAGGCCCATTGCAAATGAATTAAAATCAGTTCTTAAATTTAAGGGAATATAATTTATTTCAAATCCGAGTTTCAAATGACTCCCCCCCCCCCCCCCCCCCCAAAAAAAAAAGCCTATATAAGAAATCTGACTTTGATCATTTTTAAGGTTGAAATACACAAGCAAACGTTTATATTAGTAGTTGAAAGCATGAAAAATGCATCCATTTTGGGTGACCTTAAGTCTGACAGAAGGAACCTCATTCTCACACCAACTTTTTTCTCTCTCATATTTGCACTCATGTTTTCTCTTTCCACCATGCATTCCTGCCTGCTACTTCATCATGACCTTACTTGAACTCTGACCTCTATCTTCAAACAAAATTCCTCTCAAAACTTGGAATCTTCCTTGTCACTCTCACCTTCACAAATCCTTTCTGACCTATGAACTTTGAACCTTCTTGGCACGCTCTAAATCTCTTCCGTGTATGTGTCACGGCAAACTCTTCTTCTCCCAGCATTTAACATAACGTATGGAGGTGAGTATAGGTTTTCTGCTGGACGACTGTAAGCCCATCTTTCATAATCCCCATCTTAATCTTCAGCTTGCTATGATCCCTACCTTTAGGGCTTGATTAAGCCTCTTATTTTCTGGAATGATTCTTTGTTTCTCCTTAAACTTCTCTAATTACGCTCTCTCTTTTCTCATTCTTTTTCTTTTTTGTTGTCTCTCTGTCCCTTTCTCATTTTCTTTTGCTTCTGTCTCTTAATTATCTCTCTCTCTCTCTCTCTCTCTCTTTTTTTTCCCTATTTCATCTCTTTTCCTTTTTTTAGTTTCTTTCTCTCTTTTTTCTCTGTCATTTTCTATTCCATTTTTCTCTATTACATTATTTCTTGTATGTTCTATTTGCTCTTTCTTGCTGTTTTGTTCTTTGGGAGAAGAAAATCCCTTTTTCCTTTTGACATTCTACTTGCATTTTTGAAAGCCGATATAATATTGGCCATTCAAAAGCATTATGTTATGAAGCTTTGTCCTTGAAAAAGAAGACAATTTATTTTTCTGCTTTAAAGATAACTTTCACACTGCATCGTAACACAACCTACATTACTATGTGAACATATGTAACAAATAACATTGTCCTTTTTCTACGCACTTGCTATATTCTCTCAGTCATCAAATATGTTCGCCAAACATTGTGCATGTATAACGTTCAACATCATTTTCTCTCTATGTAATTTCACTTCAAACACTTCACACTTTCAGTACACTCATGAGCCTGTCATAATGAATTTCATCATTATCATCGTAAGCTTTGTCAGCACTTGGAATAATGAAAAACTTTTAGTACTACATAGTGTAGCACAGGTTAACATTAACCATATATGACAATAGTAGCACACATGCACACACTCACACAGCTGTCAATAGGCCCTTTTGGTGCTTTTAGAGATACCATGTTTCCAGATAGTGACAAATAACCCTCCATTTTGATCATACAGTGAGTGAAAACTTCCAGAGTGGAATCCTTGATTATCATTACATCGAGGTTGGGGGTGTTGCAAATCGGGAGAGCATGCCGGACAACCCTTTAAACTTCGTCGGTCACATGGAGCAGTTCCTGTACAACAACCAACCATACTTTGACATGGCTAAGGCACGGGATCTGGACTACATCAGATTGAATGCAACGTTTGGTGAGAAGATGAGTCAGAGGCCAAAGGTCAATCCCTTCACCTTCAGAACAAAAGAAGTCTTCGTCCAACTGGAGACACCCGACTCCTATCCAGCCCTGACGCTCTTCTTTCACTTCAAGACCACGGAATCCAATGGTCTGCTGCTCTACAGCAGCGGTGGCCGTACTGACTTCATCTCTGTTGGTCTAGTGGAGGGTCAGATACAGTACGCCTTCAACATGGGGGCCGGACCAGTCAAGATCCACGCCAACACGCCCCACATGCTCAATGACAACAAATGGCACGAAGTCTCCGTCTCAAAGAACAGTGGAGGTCGACATGTCCTGCAAGTGGATAACTCGATGAGTATTGCTCAACCGTCACCCAAGGCAAGACATCTGGACCTGACTGAGAATCTCTATGTGGGCGGCGTATCTACAGATATGTACGAGGATCTACAGAGCGGGGTGGAGGCCAGAGTTGGCTTCCAGGGCTGCTTTGCATCTCTAGAAGTCAATGGCAGGAAACAGGATCTGGAGGACTCGGCCATCAGCATTGAGATGGACAAATCCAACCTCAAACGTGGCTGTGAAGGTATGTATATATTCCCTAATTAAGCTTATAATAGTTTCTTGCAGACATCAGAAACAACAACCCCTCTCCCCCCCCCCCCCCCCCTCCAAAAAAAAAGACACCGCCCAAACTATTGTAATGTGGTACAGGATCCCAAATATGGACATATAGCGACTGCTGAAGTTCTTGAAGTATTTGCTATTAAAGAGCCATAACATTTTCTTCCATAAGGTATTTCATTTAGGATATTGTGCATTGCGCTGTAACCATACATTTTTTCTATAATGCAACCAAATTTTTAAAAATCAGACACATAATTCCCTTTTGAGTTCAGCAAATAAAGATTCTTATTAGGAGCTGGTCATAGTCTGCTAAAAAATATAAGTTTATGCCCTTCCGGCTCTCAGCAGCATGATGACTTTTGATATTTCTTATTTTTGTAATATACCATGAATCACTCCAAGGATTTTGGTTAAGTGTAAAATTGATTGTAGTACCCATTTGTATGATCAGTAGAAAATTATATGATTCATCTTGCAATTGATGAGTATAGGTAAGATAGGTTTGGACTTGACAAGTTTCTGTCTTTATGACATGACTTATAAGAGCAATAAGAAGCTGAAACTGAAAGACAGATATATAACTGATAGCACAGTGAGTAAGGAGACAAAAAGAGCTGTGATTTTGGAGTGGGATATATGTCCTTCGAATGACAGTTGTGTAAACTTGTCGGGCAACAGGAGAGAAGTTCTTCGTCAAGTGACAAATCAATTGAGAAATAAAGTAATATGCAGTGTGTTCCAGGGAGTATGTTCTGGACAAATTTACACATCTTCTGCTGAGAGCCGGAAGGGAGTTAACTCTATGTAAAATTATAGGAGTTAAGACACTTGTGGATCTTGGTAGACATTTTAGCATTGACAATTCATTCTCCTGTCTAATGTTCAGTAAAATGACAAAAGAAATAAAGAGGCTTTGTGGGGTTTGTGGATCAGATCATGATTATTGCATGATGGAAGAGGTGATATTTCACATTGGTGCAATTGAAGTGATGATCCTTTTTGGCAGCTTCTTGGAAGTTATCCCTGGGGGGTAAAACTGTCCCCAAATGGTGAAAATATCCTTGAATGGAAGTAGCTATCCTGGTACAGGGGAAATTACTAGAGATTAAGGGGTTCAATAAATATATCTTTAATTTTTCATTGTAAAGTTGCAAGGTGATGCACTGAAAGGACCATAAATCATTAACATTTGGAAGTGAGAGAATAGTCTTGATTTGTGAAAAAAGATGAGCGCCATCTTGTGTAGTCATAACAGCGTCTTTAATTGCAACATTTACCTTATTTTGTACTCCTCGCTGATAATAAGGAAGACAAAGAAAAGATGATTTTATGATTTTAGCGAAGAGCAGTAAGACCCAATCTTGTGATGAATCAATAGTCTGTCTCATGGTGTATTGATGGTTCTCTGTCTCTCTGACTGTCCTTGTCATGAATAGTCCTGAATAAACATCAACTTATCATGGCATCTATGCATTCACATTGATTGGCGGTGGACTCATATTGTGATATAACAATCTGTATTGATTCTTAAAGTGAATTTCAATTGTTTCCATGAAAACGTGTCACCATGAAGACATCTTTGTTTAGATTTTGGAGAAATCAGGTGGTTTGCAAATATTGGAAATAATGGATGGTTGTAATTTGGTGTGTTCATTTTGTTCTGCTGACTTAGTGAATATGTTGATTTTTTAAAACTATTACACTTGCATATTTCATACTCTATTTTAAGTATATACCACAGAAAATATTAGCCAGTCAGTGAGTATAACATGAACATTATCAGAGTTATAAATCCATAGACAATTGTTTTAAATACTCTCAGAAATGGCTTTTAAAATTGACAAGATCAATTTTAATCAAATTAGTTTCTTAACTGAAAAAACAAGAAAAAGGGTGAGCACTGTTGGAGAAGTTAACTGACATAAAATTATCCTACAATTTTATTTATAGGATCTGAGTGTAGTTTGTATATTTATCCATGGCTTATATGGCAATATGTGAGTTAGAATACATGTCTAGATGTTGTTACTAAACCTTTTTCTTCTTCTCTCTTTCTTGTTTTTAATAGATAATGGTGACCTATGCCTAGCGGATGTATGTGCTAATGGAGGGTTATGTATACCAGGCTGGAATGGGTATAGTTGTGATTGCAGGATGACCAGCTTCTCAGGGGTCAATTGCTCAGGAGGTAAATGATGTTTAAAAGAGTGCTGAATTTGATTTTTATATCTAATAAATATGTATTTTGAATACCAAATACTAGCATTGTTATTGTAAGAATATGAATATGCCAAAAAATAAATGGATAGATAGATAGAAAGATAGATAGATAGATAGATACTGGTAGATAGATAGCTAGATAGATGGATAGATGGATTGATGGATAATTGAAATATGAATAGAGATGGATGAATATTCAGGACATAACCATTTTGGAGTATAGAGCTCAAGGAGCAGATAATTTATTTTGTAATACATATTCTACAGTTATACATGTGTGCTGCTAAAAATTTATAACATTATGAAAACTTATTGGAAATAGATTTATGTTAACAAATATGGGAGATCAAATCTAGAAGCCTAGCTTTTTAATCCTAGTGTCGCAGAGAAATTTTGTTGGTTACGTATACTTCAAATAATTGTAGATGTTATCAAAGGAATGATTTGGTTTACTTTTAAAGAATTGTGGAATCCTTGTATCAAATAATGTCCTATTGATGGTACAAGATTGCAGTATTGCAATTTGTTGTCAGAACACAAGTGCTCAACGGTTTAGTGAAAATTAACCCAACTACTCTGTTGTTTCTCTTCCTCTTCCTCTCCCTCCTCTTCCAGTGAGTACATCATTTGGTTATGGAACCGGTGGTGGTGTCATCTCCTTGGAGATCCCTGAGTCTCAATGGTTACGGACTGATCATGATGATCTGAGTATGGGAATGGCTACCAGGTCAGCGAACGCCATCATAGCTCGTATCGACAGTGCTACGTCTGATGACTACATCGAAATGGAACTGGTAAAGCATAGAGTCTGATGAGATTTTTCATTCCTTAGGATAAATCACAAGAAAGCAAGGCATATGAATCATTTTATTGAATAAAATTCACAACAGTATTGGCAGTATACTAACGATTATCTGAATAGTAATGGTTTAACATAATTAATTTGCAATCTAATTTCTCAGAAGATTTGGGCTTTTTTATGATTGAAGAATGTGGCAAATGAAATCTAAATTTAAACAAAAGAATCATTCTGAAGACTCTGTATATGTCTAAATTAGACTCAAATTCAAGATTGTTCTAGAATTTGCAAACATTCATATTTGAGGTAGTTCATCATTGCAAATATCTAAGGAACATTTCAGTACCCGTATTTGAAATGATAAGGGAAATTCCAAGCTATGTATCCTTTTTGACATATGTATACAATTATAGTCAATGATCACATAAAACTTTAAAAATTCTTGGATGAAATATAGTGTATAGTATAATCTGACCTGGTTGTTTTAATGTAATACACTACATGTAGATTGATTTTAGGAGATTTTTCTAACCTTGTCATGATGCTGTGAACTCTTCTCAGGTCAACGGTTATCTGTGGACGATGTATAACTTTGGATCAGCCGATCACATGATCAGTGACGACACCAATCGCATCAACGATGGCTCGTATCATGTCATCCATTTCTCAAGGACTGGGGCCAACGCTTCTCTGCAGATAGACCAGTATGCTCGTATTCATAAGACACCAAAAGGTAGGAATGCATCAATGTCATCCAAGCAAACTTTTAAATGCATAAGGCAATTTGATGTGTCTGGAGTAGTATGTAACTCACAATGCATACCTCAAATGCACATATTCAGTAGTTAAACATGAAATGTAGCCCTGATTTCCTCAGGGAAGGGGTTTTATGGTTCAATCTTTTCATTACAAGCTTTACATAGCCAGATCGTATTGAGAGTGATGAGACAAAGGAGGTAGGCAACAAAGTACTATGTGGATGAAATACTGCTCAACACTCTTTGTGGAATAAAACAAATTGGAGTGGATGTATACATCAAATAATATGGAATAAAAGTATTTGACACTGGAGCAGATGAGCTTTGAATACCTCAGAGTCTTGAATATTCACTCTAGCCACTGTATTGTCTTCATTGAGTTAAATAATTGGATTTCTTAGAGGATTTTATCGTTTATCATTTACAACAAAAATTTAGGAATACTTTTTGAACTGAAACCATTAATAAATAATGAATCTTTTATTTGACAGGCAAACAGTCTACATTCTTTGACGATCAGGCGATAATCAACCTCGGCGGACGCGGAGAAATGAGCGACAGCAAACGGAAAAGAAGAAGAAGAGCACCCGCCTCATCTCAGTTTGAAGGCATGATGTCCGGTCTCTCATACAATGACATGAGAGTCCTAGATATGGCAGCGTCAGACGACCCACGTGTCGTACTCAGCGGGAACGTAGGCGAGCTCGAGAATCCAGAGAATTACATCTATGGGACACCGATACCAACAACGTCAGATGAGAGTACCATCTACCGCATCACTACCACCAGGAAGACTCCAGTATTACCCCCTATTCTCAATGTATCTAGTACAGCTAATTCAGATCTTACATCTCCTACAAAGGTAAGACTTTAATCAAATCATCTGAAGTTAATTTTGAACAGAAAATGTTAGTGTATTACGGTTTGTGGACATCATGTTGTAGTTTAGAATATCAGGAGGAGTTTGTCGGGACTTAGTGTATTGTTCCATGATTTCTACAGTGTTTCACTGACATATTTGCAGAACACAACAGATAATAGATTGTGTGAAGTGCCAAAAAGGGGGCCCCTTGAAACCATTTTGTTGATTATGCATAAAGATCATTCACAAAGATATCCAAAATACTATGTAGCTTATTGAAAGAAGTCTACAAAACAACTGTCCATCTTCTGATTATCTTCTATTGTAAGCTTTTGTTCTTTTGAGGTAATGCACTCACATGTTTTGAGAATGCATTTTAAATAAAAGGCTTACATTATACAAAGATAGCTTGACTAAGCTCTCAAAAATATATGTTATATAGATTCTAATCCCATTAACGAAGCATTAATTTATGCACACTTGTATGCTTTGAATCCTCTATAGATTACAATGTCAATAGCCCCGACTTCTGATGGTGAATATACACCTGATGATCAAGACATTATTTTTGTGACTGGATCAGGATGTATGTCAGATGTACCTGAGGACTGCACTCCACAAGCAGCAGGTGAGCTAGGGATTAGAAGTCATCCATATCATATTTGTCTTTCAGTTTAGGAAGCATTAATGTAGTTGCAGTCAATCATTTCATGAAAAGTATGGCTGGTAAAGGATTACAGAGACAGTGTTTTTAGGGACTTTATTTATGAAATGGTTATTGTGTTTGAATCATTTCTGTATTACATTCATGTAGATGGAAGGAAAGGCTATACCAATTGCATTGATTAGTTAATGTCTCTGCTTATATGTCTTTTGGGATCCATATGAGCATTAAATCTACATAAAATGATATGAGCTAACATAATTACCAAATATGTTTATGATTGTGCCGCAACAAGGAGTTAAATGATAGTGAGCCTTTTATTATTTTTAAGAGTTCAATACTCTTGAAACAAAATTTGTAAATCCCCTTTACATTATAGTCATAGGAAAGAAAAAAAAATCCGACTTTTTTTGATAATTAAGTAAAAAAAGTGGAGGTATCAAAAGATTTCCATGATGGTTTGGGATTGTCTTGTCAAACAAGTGTTCAATGTGGTGTGATATTAAAACAATATTCATATGACTAGGAAAGAAAGCAGGTATTGTCATGACAGAAATTAATCTAAAGTTTTCTGACATTGTTTTGGGGGGGAAGTTTAGCTTACTTTTGATAGTCTTTTTTTTTTTTTATTCATGCCTTATTACATTCACATTTTAGATTCATGCCCAAGTCTGGAACATTCATCTTTTAGAATCATTCATATTTTTTTGTTGCATCATCTATTTCTTTATTTGCAGTAACTCCCAGAGGTAAACAATATCATTTTTTATTATTTTAAGCTAATATATTAATTGTTGCTTTCCATCCTTTTTTTCTAATACAAGTGGATTGTTGGTTGTCTCCTTTTTCCTTCATTAAAAGTCCTCTTGACACTTAATCACTTTCATAGCATGACCTTTTTCTTTTCATTTAGATTTATTTATTTGCAAAGAGCTGTATATTTCTTTCATTCTATGTTCCACCCAAGGTGAATTAAAATTCGGAATAAATAGGAAGACACAAAGCTAGAACTGATTTCCTTTTCCTCACTGATTGTGGATGTGGTGAAGTTATCTACTTAATGGATACAGGCCTGATAAAAACCCGATTTAAATCGGTTTCCCGATTTTTTTTATTTTTCCCGATTTTTTTCCGATTTTTTCTTCTCGATTTAAAAAAAAAAAAAAAAAAAAAAAATCCAGATTTTTTTTTTTTTTTTTTTTTTTTTACCAATTTTTTTTTTCTTCCTTATTTTATCCTGATTTTCCAGATTTCCTCTTATTTTCTCTATTCTTCCTTATTGTGCCCTATTTTTCCCCCAATTTTCTTATTCGAAAGGGGGGAAATGTTGTTAGATGCCATTTTTTCCCCGCGAATCCTCTTTTTTTTTTTTACTCAAGGGGGGGCGTGGTTGAGGGGAAAACAAAAAACCTATTTTTTTTTAGTGCTCATTATATACCTCACTTAAGTAATCCAGCCATCTGATTGGTCGAAATTGCATTCATAAACTTCAATTGTTCCTGTAAAATTCCCGGTAACTATGCTTAAAACATTCAATATTTTTAATAACCATGGTTATTAAAAAAATAGGTCAGTCTCCATGGTTACCCCATTGGTTTACATGTTAAAAAATGGTTTGAGCGATGGAGGATACCGTATGTGTGCGAATAATTGGTCGGTAATTTCAATACAATTGAATCTCGATCGATCTTACCGACAATTTTATCTTGCATTGTTGACATGAAGACGAAAATAAACTTCCAAAAACAAAAAAACAACATCTGCCGATAGATCTTGATCTAAGTTCGTGCCAATATGCATTGCAAAAGTAAAAGAAGAGTCCGTATATGGAGCTTTTGCGAAGCATTCATCACACGCAAAGCCGGTTTCAATCCATTTTAATGTATATATAGTACAAAACTGCCAAGCATGTTAATAACGCGCGATGGCCGAGAGGTCTGAGGCGCTGACTTTAGATACATCACCTTTTGTACGCAAGAGTTCGAATCTCATCTTGGACCAAAAAAAAAAGTATTTTTTATTTTTTATTTTTTAGTCTATTTTTTTTCGGCATATAAAAGTATTAATGACTGCTTTAATATTCGAGAAATAGTTGTTTTTATACGCTCTCGGGAAGGTTACAATTGGGCTATTCCCCTCGGCACGCCTCGGGTAATAGCTCAATTCTAACCTTCCCTTGAGCGTATAAAAACAACTATTTCTCTCAAAGCAGTCATTAATACTATACTATCACCCCTGTGGATAAATGTGTGACACCATTTGCTGCTACCATGTGCACTATCGTATTTCCCTCTTCATGTACTATGTAGTTTAACCATCCTCAAATTATCAAACATGACTTTTCTTATTTTAGTTAAGGATATTTTACATTGGGAGAGGGAATTGTGAAAATAAAAACACTTGATTATTTTCTCCTTATAGTTTAAGTATATATTTAACTACATCCCTATGTGCATGCTTCGTATTTGAAAAGTTTTACAACTCTTTTCTCCCTTTTGCTTGAGTAGTTATTATTTTAGGGAAATTTCTACAATTTCTTTCATATTTGAATTGGCTGGTATATTGTTGGAACCACTATTTACATGTAGATTGTAGTACTTCTTTCATTTTTGATAACATTCCAGTCTAATATGTGTCTTTTCTTCAATTCTGTAATTGATAACTTATCTTTTGTACCAACTATGATAGTGCTTTGTTTGATCTATTCAAAGATCAATTACTAGTATATTCCCCTGAAATACAACTCCCTGAATCCTCCGTTTTATCACTTAGACCACCATATGATTTATATATATGCAAGCCACCATATATAATGCTTCAAAATCCCATTTTCTCCTCCCCTGCCCAGCAAACCCATCCCCCCAAAAAAATATTTTAAAAATAAAAAATAAAATCCTTCACTATATTTATTTATTTCATCAAGCAAAATGTCAAGGTTTGTTTTATTGATATACTCACAGTAAGAACGACCCTATTGTCCATATTCTATGAATTCACTTAAACCTGACCCTAGGTTTAATACGTTTAACAAAAGGAAAACTTGAACTCAAGACTAACTTCTTTGTTGAACCCAATTTGGGGGGGGGGATCTGAACCCTGTATTGGGTTTAATTTTAGTAGAATCCAGGGCCTATAAGTTGTGATAGCATAGTTCTGTATTGAAGTTCCATCTCATATATAAATTGATCCCAATTATGTGAACACTTTTCCTCATAAATTGGACGGAAATGTGCATTTCTTTGGCACTATCTTCCAGTACCAGGAAGGCCATTTCAAGTATACTTTGTCCACATGTTAGTCATGGATGTTTCTATTTCTTTCATTAGGTGAGGATATCTTTGTACCAGGAGAGACAATGAGTACACCCCCTCCTGACAAGCCTGGTGCCCCCGTCACCACCGAGTCTGCTTCACCCATGTCCCCTCAGCCCCTTCCCCCTTCCAGCACGGAGCCAGGATCAGGATGTGACGATGATGACGAGGATTGTATGACTGCATCAGGAGAGAATTCAGGCACCAAGCCAAGTCCTACCAAAGACTTCACTTTCACCCCCGTGGATGCTACTGGGGTAACGGTAGCAGGATCCACACCCCAATCAGGTGCCAGCCAGGGTAACAATGGTTTTGATTTCCTGGGTGAAGCTGGGCTGGTAGTGGGCGCCGTCTCCGCAGCTGCCGTTATATTCATCCTCGTCATCCTCGCTATCTACAAATTCAAGAATCGCAATGAAGGCTCGTACCAGATCAACGAGAGTCGGAATTATGACTATGAAGCGACGCGCACCTCCCTCTTACCCGCGACAGCCACAAACGGTACCCTACCATCAAAACCAAAACCTTCATTACCACCAGAGTATGCGACAAAAGAATGGTATGTCTAGCAGTAGATGGTAGGTCTAGATAGATATAGCACATTATATGTAGCTTTGTCTTCTTTTTGTATATTTGAAGATTTAAAACAAAAAAATCACATATATGATATAGTATTTCAATCCAAACTATTCTAACAGTGTGTGTATATATACAAAGCAATGTCCTATGCTAATTTGATATGCAATTATGAAACTATGACGCATTTTGATGGATGCTTCATGTGTAGTACTTAAGGTTGATTTTATGGATCTTGCCAGTATGTCAAAATGAATACATGTAATATACAAGTCACACCCAATTTATAGACCTCAACCAATTTTAATTATTGTAATTTTTTGTTGGTAATGCATTTTTTATTTTCTTGATTTCAAATTATAGCTTTAACCATTTGATAAAACACATAAAAAGGCCATGTCTAGTTTAATATCCTGATGTAAAACTGTGATATTTACAGGCTTATCTTTAAAAGTATACATGAACCTTTCTCAGTAGAATTTGGAACAACAAATAATTCAGTTTGCAATTTAAAGTTCAGTGTTTGCATATGTACTTATGAATCATCAAATGGTTGTTGAATGAGAAGCATTAAGTCACACCATTTTCTATCTTCCAATAAATTGTTTGTCATGTCTGCGTTATCATTCTACTTGTATAGTTATGATACAGATACCGATAAGCTTCTGTTTATGGACATTTATGCTTTATAAACCGACATGTATCATTGTAATTTTAGGAAGGAGTAGTGTTTGTTTGATGGACTTTATTCTTTCACCATGTCTGGTAGCAACAGGTAGTGAACTTTAGTTTATTCATATCCTATTTCAAATCTTTTATCTGTAAAAACAGAAGGTCAAAGTTCATTGATACTATATCAACATGTAGTATCAATATACTAGATATAGTACTTGGTATAATATCAATATACCAAGTATTTTATTTTCAACTACCAGACAACTACGAGACTGTTGCATTGAAAACTTTATGGCATTTGAATAAATGAATGTATAAGCTTTCATAAGTAATGTCCAGGCTTGTATGCACGGAGTACATGTACCGGTATATCAATTAGACCTTGGCTTATCTTTTTCTATCTTAAATAACATTAACAAGTTGTTATCAATGACAGTCGCTGTTGATACACTGTCATAACATTTCTCATTAAAGTCCTAATAAGAAGCTTCTTAAAGTTTCTTACATATGTTGTATATCTTTATTGTTTGTGTAAGCGTTAGGATGTTGTTGACTTACATGTAATTGGGTGCTACCAGTAAAGTGAGTTACATGTATCCATATATTTGCTTCACTTTTCATTTTGTGTTTTTGCTCTATATGAAGCACTTGTAACCACCTCTTCCTTTACATACAACTCATAAGAATGTATTGATCAAACTTATTTGATCACTAGATGTAATGTATAGAGTTATCCACTTAGAAAATGCTGTATGATTTCAATTGAATTCACATTATTTATACTAGATGATAAGTATGGAATGTGAAACAGATTTTTTTCTTCTCCAGCTGTATTCAAAATTATTTGCAATCAAATCTACTAACACATTTACGGACAAGATGCAATCATGATGTATGAACTGAAATGGACTTTGATTTTCTTTTTTTGCATTGAAAATAATCTAATAAGCTTAGGAAATCAAGATTGGATGAGAGCTATAGTTCTATCTTTTGATAGTAAAAATTACAGAAACTGAAATTCGAAGAAACAAGGCACAGTACTGAATTGTTTTGAAAATTTGTTGAAACAAGTAATATATAGATTTGTATGTATGACATTAGTGACACACATGCAAATTAAATCAGTTTATGCTGATTTGAATCTGTAGGAATCCAAAATCAAAGTAGCAACATTTCAATACGAGGATTTTATAAACTCTTGTCCTTGCAACAGAGAAGGTCAAATGATTAATCAGCAGCTTTTGCAGTCAGTGTTTTAGGTTTTATTTGGTAACTTTGAATTCCTTTTCAGGATTTGCAATCTCCAGAGAAATTCATTTATGATTATAGATTTGTTGTTAAATGTGTGCTAAATTTAAACAAGCTTAATGAAGTCTTTGATTGGACTTGAATGAATGATTACATTACACGTTCTTGTTTATATAAAAGTATAAATCAGTGTCCTTTATTTATGTAATGTTTTTTTTATAATTCAGTGATGTATAAACTTACACATGAAATGAATAAAGAGAAACAATGTACTAAAATCTCAGAGAAGATGAAATTGCCAGGTGCAATTATTGGATGAAAAGTCAAGACAAGATCTTTAGGAAATACATGTATTGTCATTTTATTATTAATATTATTACTATTATTATGCTGTCATGTAAATATGGATGCCCTGTAAATCTTACATTCCTTTTCACACAAAATATGTTCTGTAGAGATAACAGATACAGGTTTACAAATGAGATATTGTATAGTTTGAAAACGAATGAGTGATGTACATAGAGATATGTATTTAGTATGTAACATAAATAACATATTAGTCTGCTAAAAAAAGACACACAGACTATAATGTTCAGAGAAATATGTAGTAGAATTAGTTATATTTTTAGAAAATACTGATCAGTAGTTTTTGTGATTGCCATCTTTGCTGATTTGCATGTTCATTTTTATTTCTTATATTTCTATCCAAGCATCTGCATTGCTTTCAGAACTTATATTAATTAGAACTATACTCTTAAATATGGTTTATTAATTCATAATTAGTCCTATAGTAAAAACAAATGAATGATAAGTTCTGTAAATTTTCCTTTTCTTGAGTTAACTTTGAAGGAGAGCAACTGCAGAGAACTAGTTCCGTTTCATTGCTCAAAAGAAAGAAAATACTATTTTCTGTTCAGAGCCAGAAGGGTGTTAATGCTGTTAAAGTTTACGAGTTAATACCGGTACCCTTTTGTCTAGAAAGCAAGGGAGATGACCTACGGGCTTAACATTATCATCTTTTTATTTTAATATTATCTTCTGAGAGCCAGAAAGATGTGAGGTGTGTTCAAGGATATGAGTTAATGTCCTTTTTGCTCTCAGCAGGCATGTTGTGTATGTAATGTATAATGAAGAAGTTTAAAAGACGATGGTTTATTAAAGGTAATGCAGCATCCCATTTCAAAGTTGGCCATACTCGTAATTAGGCTTATTTATAGTCATAGATATGTACCAAGACCAATAAGTCTAAGAATATAACCATATATTTGTACAAAGATTTCATTCATGCATTGCATTATGGGAGAACATACACCATAATTATTTACCAATTGCTTCATTTATAAGCTAATACATTTATTTTCTTGCAAAATTATTTCATACCTCAGCATATTAATCGCACACACAGTAATGCATTGTCTGTTGAGAGCCAGAAGGTGGTTAAGCTGTGTTTAATACAAGATAATGCCCTTCTGTCTCCAAGCAGAGAGTTTACCAATTTATGTGCCCTCAGTTATGATAAGCCTGTACCTAGTTTTCTTACATTGCTGAGATTGGTTCTAATAAGAGTGTATATGCTGCAGGGAAGCAAGTTTGAAAAACAAACTTAGAAAAGTATTTTATTCTAGGTTCCTCCCGAGTACAGTAAACAATGTTTGTATTTGAATACATGTATATTTCTTAAAAGTTGGAAAATGGAAGCTTGTAAAAAATAATTTCCACAACATATGGGTGCTGTGTTGTTAGTTTCTCATAATGTAAGAGTAATTTATGTTAAAATTTAGCCAGGAATCACGTATAGCATACAACCAACAAATTGTCTTCATTACATTATTTTACAAGAATTCCCAACCCTTTCATATTATATAAACCTCTAGCTATATCATGAATATTACTGGTGGTCTGGCCAATGTCAATCAGTTTGATCAATTACGCATGCAGCAAAATGGCAATGATGAGTATTTATATGTCAAACTATGTAAAAAAATTGCTTCCAAATAAGTTAGTAGAAAACTTTTAGAATGTAATTTATTTAAAAAGATTACTATATTATGTAGCTTTGTTTTTTATTTTTGTTTGTTTATTTGTTTTGTTTTAAGTAGGTTGTTATTTTGATATATTTTATTCAGCCTCCCTGGCATATTTTCATTATGCAAGTGTAGCAATAAATGTGAATTTGAATGACTATAGTGATTGTCACAGTATTTTATACTTGCATTTCTGTAGTGTATATGATGACGATGTTGAAAATGATCCTGATAATTTGGACAACAGTGATTAGGATAATGAGGATGATGAAGTTGAAGTTGAAGATGATGATGATGATGATGATGATGATGATGATGATGATGTTGATAGTGATGTTATTGGTAGTGAAGATGGTGACAGACTAAAAGATGAATTGTTGATGATAATGAACGCGAGTACAAGATTTTGATGCAGTTGGCCAGTGGGCGTAATGAGTTTTTGAAGGGGAAATATTGGATATATATATAATTACCACATAATAATAACAGACCATTTTTTGTAATGTAATCAAATTTAATGCATAAATCTTTGTTAAGTGCCATGATACATGATACAAAATATTTCATTCACCTGATACACATGATTGTATTTCAATAGTCAGAATGCAAATTCCATACATTATTTGTTGCTAGGTAGGACAAACATTATGGTTTGTCCTACTTAACATCACGGAAAGTTAAAGTAAAATCTAATCATAAAAAAGGAAAGTTGAGGTGTCATAGTTGAGTGGTTAAGCACTTGATTGGACATGCAAAGGTCGTGGGTTCGATTTCCCGGCAAGGTACTTATGTCCTTGAGCAATTATATCTGCATTGCTTCTTTTCAACCAGGGAGCCTGGAGAATGTGTAAAAAAATTTGGTGGGGAAGCCTGAATCTGTCGACCAGGGTATATCTGTAAAGCACTTCTACTAGAGACATCATATACCCAGGATATAATCAACATAACTAAGTTCTGCATTTTTTAAGTTGCAATTATTCAATACGTCTCCATGACGTATCTTGCACTATGCGAAAAAAATCCATCATAAAGGCACCCTAGATATAATCATTGCAAATATATTTTCTCACATTCCCAGTACAAAACAAATCTATTCCTTCATTAATAATTCAGAAATAATAGAAAAATTTATTTGACAGAGTAAGCAGGAGACCGATAAGGATGGTACAGGATTGCGTTTCATTGATTACACCTTCAGAAATTCAAAACTGCCTTAATTCTGATTTGAATTTGCTAAAAATTCACTAATTTTTTTTTTTTTTTTTTTGGGGGGGGGGGTTGCATTCATTAAAACCAATTTAACATCAGGATACACTTTCCATTTAATATATTGCAATTGATTAGTTTTGAAAAAGCTTCTTTGATTACCTCTTTAGGAACACCTGTATGTTGGAAACTGATAAGTTCTTATTTCAATATGGGAATTTTTTAAACTTCCCATTCTTTTTATGCCGTATGCCATATATGTACTTCAAATTCTCCATACAGTCATCAACGAATTAGGGCTCTCGTTCTGCTTTATATTTGTTCAATACTTAATTTCTACACAACTGTTGCGAGGCTGCAGTACATGTAGACCAATTATAAAACTACAATAGCCAAGTTTGTATAGCGATGATTCAAGGTTCTCTGATTTTTTTTTAAAGTTATGAATTTGGTGCCGAGGTCACAAGGAATATAGGAAGGGGGGCAAGAGCCATAGTACACTTTTCAATGAGCCTAATTACGAGAAACCTACATAACAATTAACAACTAAGTAAATAGCTTGCATATATTGTTGGAAGATGAAATCACATAATTCACCTTGTCGGGAAAGGAAATCAATGCCACTTTTAAAAACAAAATCAATGAAATAAACTTTTCCGTCTTCACCTAAACCTTTCCGTAAAATATGAAATCGAGACAATACTAGAAAGTTAAAAACATAAATGGTTGAGGCAAAATAAGGCATATTATCTTCCAAGTCCACAAATTGCTTCTCTCGTCACCATCGTCATCATTCTCATTACTTTGCAGCATGCAGCATCATTAGTAGGGCACTTAATAATCCCACGTCTCTGTGACATTTCACTAGCTGGTAAGATGATAGCTTGCATTCTAAGAAGACACATTCAGTTCCTGAAGGTAGAACTTAGTATCCTAGCTTACTGTATTCAATTGGAGTGAAAGCCTTCTTGCAATTTTATTGAAATGTTTAAAGTTCTCCAGTGATCCAATCATCAATATATTGTTGCATTCATCATTCAATCTCATTCAGAGGCGTATCCAGACACGACTCATATACAGGGGTCCTAAAGATATTCTAGAGAGGGTTGGGGTGGGGGGGGGGGGGGGCTGGAATGCAATTGGGTAGCTCTGCTTGACGTAGACAATCTGCAAGTACCGGTGATACAGCTGGTGGGGGCTTCAATTCAAACAGAGGGGCGTTCCTAGCTTCATCAACCACTATGTTGGATACGCCAATGTTCTCCAATCAAATCAGTTGCTCTTCGACTTTGTACTGATGACCCCACCTCCAAGCCCCCTTTGATTCAGCAAGATATAAACCAAAGCAGCTCCAAACACGACAGCTGGTACAGTGTGGGATAGGGGCTCTCCGACCATCACGAGAGTGTAGGCTGCTCCGATCATGATGCCGAGGAGAGGCACGGCGGCAAACACTCGACAAACAGGTCGCCCAAATGCGAGTAAGGCACCTAACAGCACCTCGGTAGCGCCCACCAGGGATAGGTACATCGCAGCGGTCTTTATACCCACTACGTCCCGTAGCGGAAGAACGGTTAGGAATCTCTCAAAGTCGGTGTACATTAGAGGAAGCCCATGTCCCTTCTGGTCGTTGTCGAGGGGTATGAGTTTTACGAAGCCTGCTACGATGAAAAGTAGTCCGAAGACAAGGGCGAGGTAGTGACTGACCGCCATTTCTCTACTATTTCACAAAGCTACAGGGAAGCGACTGTGCTCGATTGGGTAGAGTTTAGCCTCAGCCTCGGTTGTGTGGAACACAATACAATACCGCTCGCGCTCGAAAAACAACACATGGCCATGCTATAATCGCACAATATGGTTTACCAGTGGCGTAGCTATGCGCCGGGCACAGGGGCACGTGCACGTGCGTGCCCCCTTCCCCGTTGAATCATGCCTTTTGGGCGAGTGAAGAGTGTTATGCATGGGAAAAGGAAAAGAACGTGAGATAATGTAGAGAGTTAGAATTGCTTGCATGGTAACGCTCTTCATGCAGTATGAATCCCTTTTTATAATTATAGGTCTACTAATTAATTAACGTGATAACTCTTAAAATGGTATCTGTAGTATGAAATACATTATACCGTTTCACTTTGAATTTTTTTTTTCCCACTCTATTTATTTATTTATTTATTTATTTATTTATTTATTTCCTCTCATAGGGTGGATGGCCCTTTCAGCACAGCTGATTTTCAAAGGGGTCCACACTCATAAAAATAACAATAAATATACAGTGAATTATACAATAATATGTAAAACTTGCAAATGCAAGAAGTAAGGCAATGAATAAACATAAGAGAAGGGCAGGAGTTATATATTCTGCCCCCTCAAAATGTGACCATCATCGAGTACATCGTTTTTCAACCATTTGGTGCTGCGCAAGAGAATGTTATAGTTGTACATGATATATTGGAATATGTCATCAACTTTAAAACAAAGTATCAGAAACCGCGAGAGACCCACAAACGTATATCATTTTGGGTATTTTAATGAGGAAATATATGATTTCAGAGAAAAATGTACTTTTTTCTTGCTCAGTTAGTTCAGTATAGGTCCATGGTTTCAGGCAGCGAGGTTAAATAAATGTCCCCTTATTATGAGGACATTCGGGTAGCTTGCTGCCATGGCGCTCAAATATATGACCTTATTCACTCTATCTTTTTTAAATATGGAGATGACATTTATTCCGCAACAAAGTATTTTTCCCCCCTTGGTTGCTTTTCCTGGCAATGAAATGACCAAACATATAATTTTAGATTTTAAATCTCGTGTTTTTTGATGACTAGATAGAAATTTTGTTTCAATGCTTGTTGTATAGGCTAAAAACAGGGGCGGATCTAGCTTTTTGCCAGGGGGTTGGTTCGACCAAAAAAAAATTCCAAAAATCGCGCCGTTTTACTGTTTTACTTTTTTCCCTCTCACTTGTCCATCCGGGGGGGGGGGTTAAACCGCCGAAACACCCCCCCCCCCCCTAGATCCGCCCCTGAAACATATATATCTGATGCAGTATGTTCTTGGGAACTGTTGCTTGAACTAATAAAGCAGAGATAAAAAAAAACACATTACAAATTAATTTGATTAGTATTTCAGAACCTTGGATGTATACTTTAAACGCTCGAAGGTTGAATTGTACTGGAGGTACGTTTACACTTTGATGAATTCAACATCATGATAATAGCAAAATGCCTATATGTTTTGAACGTAGTGTGAAATGTGGCACGTGTGAGGGTAACCGCGAACGTTCCTCTTTCATCATTGAAAAATTGAAATATAGGCCTACATTCAAGGGGGGAGGGGGGGGGGGTTAACAATTTCAAATCGGGCCGAAAATTTCGCAACGCCTCAGCCAGCCGCTGAAAAAGCGTGGGGGGGGGGGGGGGGGGGGGGGTAAGAGGACATATTTCTTTATTTTTCTTTTTGGTCCCAAAAATTTCGCAACGACTCAGTCAGCCACTGAATAAGCGGGGGGGGGGGGGGGGGGGGGGGGGGTCATTTTTTTTTTCGGTCCCGAAATTTGAAAATTTGACCGATCAACATTTCATTCTGTTGGGGGGGGGAGGGGTAAGGTCACCTTTTTTCAGGTCACCGATTAGCATTTTTTTTTTTTTTAATAAAAAAATAAAAAATAAAAAAAAAAAAAAACGAAGGGGGGGTGGGTTTCCTCCAAAACACACACACATATCAACAAAAAAATGAAGGGGTTTACCCCCCCCCCCCCCCCCCCCCCCCCCCCCCCCCCCCCCCCCCCCCCCCCCCCCCCCCCCCCCCCCCCCCCCCCCCTGCGTACGCGCCTTCCTACATTGTACGGAATACTGGACATATTCCATATTGAGGTGTGGCCTCGAGCCCTCGACTGAGGCTCGAGAATCTCGAGACCACATCACAATCGATGTCATAGGTTCACATTTTCTTTAAAAAACGATGGTTGATAATAAATAAACATGAAGAAAAATGTGTTTGTTATCAGGCTCATGACGTTATTATAACAGGTCGCATATTAACTTCATATTGAACGTTTCATTCGTTCGTTTGTTTTGGGGTTTTTGGTGTGGTTTGTTTTTACCTGACTGCATTGTATGCTTGTTAGTAAGCAGCCGATGGACCGACAGCTTTCAGTCATTTCCGAGGGACTTGGTTAATGCGGATGAATGCCTTGCGAAAGGGCACTATAGCGCATCGACTAATTGGTTTCGAACCCGGGACCACCCGGTTACGGGACCGCTGCTCTACCACCGAGCCATCGATTTACAATTTAAAAAGATGCGATAACTACAGCATATGTAAGTAATTTGCCATTTCATCACTCTTTGATCTTACTTTAAAAAGAACAATTGACAACACTAATTCTAGTAGATATCGGGCATATTGTGGTACATGTATCACAGATGGTAGAGGGCGATAGAATATTAAAGCATAACATCTTCTTCAGTTTCTTGTTATTTTTACGCGTATAGTTTAACATTTACATTCCTAATACAATCTCAAAAAATAGAAGGAAAAAAAATCATTAGAAAGCCCGAAACTTACTTTCTAATATCTTTTTTATATAAATACCCGAAAAGTAAATTCAGACCCATTTAGTTGGAAAGCAAGTTCATTGTTTTATTCATGGCATTATCTTTCTAAAAATAATTATGTTTTCAGAAATCCTCAGATAATTGCTTTTTAAAACCAATAGCAACATATTGTTTAATAAACTGTTCTAAAAGGCAACTTTTACCTTTCCTATAACTAATTTCTCATAGGATGGATGTACCCTTTGCTTATTTTTGGTCGTTTCCCCTACTACGCGCCTCCCCTAATTTGTTGAATTTCATTGATTATGTTTTTCTTCTCCAATGTATGTAATGATTAAGCATCTCTCTCTCTCTCTCTCTCTCTCTCTCTCTCTCCTCTGCGCCACCATGAACACAATTTGGGAAGGGGGATTTCTCTTGCCTAAACGTATTTTAGTTTCAAAATTTTGCAGCAAAAATGTCGATTTTTAATATTTGTTATTGTGACAGTATAAGTTTTGTCTCAACATTTTGAAGATTGGAAGAAATAAATAAAGAGACCCCCTGCACCTCGCTGGACAAGTTTCGGTAATTTCACATTCTCGGAGACTGCATGCAGTATGCAGCTAGCCCTCTCTCTCGCACTCTCTCTCGCACTCTTTCATTTCTACATATTGTTTTTCTCTCCTATCCTAGATGTAGACTCTCTCTATCTCTTTGTCTCTGTGTGACCGTCTCTCTCTCTCTCTCTCTCTCTCTCTCTCTCTTTGTTTGACCCCCCCCCCCTCTCTCTCTCTCTCTCTCTTAGTTTTTCATTTTTTCAGTCAAAGAATTTAAAAAAAGCTGAAGTAGCAGACGATATACGAGGTATTAAACGAGGAGTGAAGGACGTTCTCCAGCGATAATCATCCATTATATCACTCTCTACAATAATGCGCACATTCAGTATGACATAACGAACCGTCATAATACCCTTTTTCATTGTAGTTAGAATCAGATGCAGGCATTTTGATTTACAAACAAAATAATACTATAGACAAAGGTATGAGAATTTCAGAATATGATTAAGGTTATTTTATCACAAAGCATCTATGATGGAATGAAACCATGCATTGACAGATTTCTACTAATCCTGGATGTCACAGTTTCGAACATGATCCACAGTATTGTTGCACCTTGTGTGTGCTTAACATGAATTAACTTGAATTTGATCAATTTTACGACCTAAACTAGAAAAGGAAATGCGAAAACGCACACTTATTATAATCTAAATCAGCTGCCGATCACCTGTTATATTGCAAGCAAAGAAAATAATACTAAGCTGGAAGAATTGTTGAATTTTTAGCTAATGTTATGTTTCACTCAATCATTGAGTAATTACTGTAAATATGTATTGAAATTATGGAAATAAAAACCTCGCTTGGGGATAAAGAGAAGGAAAAAAACATCTGTTTTTTGCTGACATATTTGTCCACAATGAAATGGCGAGCACGAATTTGAATAGGGCCAATATGGTACCGAAATGATCATTATAAAAAAAAAATACTGATCGTTTACTTAGATATACATTCAGTTATTCTTCATATACAAAGAAGACAAAAGGATGTTACTACCAGTGATCATAATGAATTCTTTTGTTAAGAACTGCAGTGAATGCATAATATGCCTATAATTAGAATGAAAATAAAAAAAGGACTGTTTCATATACTTTTTTTTTTTAATACTTCTTTTTCATGAATCATACAACCGAAGTTCTTGGTTTGCATAATTATGTGGTCCTCACAATGTATACGATTCATGAAATCATACAAAAGCAGAAAAAAACAGACAAATTCTCGTGAGCACACAACATTTAGTACGAATGACGTCAGCTGACTTCAAACCCTCATATTAGATTTGTACACACACAAAACAAAAGAGACGATTAACAATTAAAAAGATTTACTACATGTATTACTAAAAGTTGCATTAGCCAATAGAAAGTACAAACTATTTACACAATATATTCCTACAACTTTGACGAGAATACATAGGATGAGTGTCTCTCAAGATTGTTCTCTTGGATGTTTGTTGTAGTGCGGCCGCTTTGACAAGTTGCTTTATATAGTTATTCGCACGACGCTCAAGAGTGATACATAATCTGATTTCAATCGCTTTTTGCCTTGGCAGTCCTGCCATAGTTGGTATTCAGTTGGCGTCGATTCAGCAGAATGATTAACAGTAAAATACCAAGGAAGAGAGGAGGCGACGCCATTGCAATGGGATCACCAATCTTCTGATGTGTGAGGAATGCTCCAATCATGATGATAAGAAGATAGAAAGCTCCAATCACCCTCCAAAAAGAGCGTCCGAATGCTAGCATGCTCCCGAAGACAGTTTCAGCAAACCCGACGGCCGACCTGTAAATCGTTGTGGTGATCGTAACCCCGAACATGTGATGTACGGGAAGGACAGAGAGGTAACGTTTGAACATCGTCTTCATCTCTGACTGGCTGAAACCATTGCCGAGCTCGATCGGTGTGAGCTTGAGAAGGCCTGCGAAGATGAACAGGAATCCGACGAGCACGGCGATGTAGTGAATGAGTCCCATGATGATAATGTACTCGTACTATATACACAGCATGTGAACTCAAAATGGATGCATACAAATCCCAGGTCTCGCCACAAAAGAGTGTACAGCTGTAAAAAAAAGCTGCGTGAATTTGTTATTAGACCGTTAAGTCTAAAATGTACATGACTTGTATACTGTTGTGACGCCGAAAAAATATTCTATATAGCAAAGTACGATAGATTGGATAAGCTATGTACACATTAGTGCACACCAATACAGTTACAAATAGACGAGTCGGTGAGCGGGTTTTTTCGGCTGCTTAGCTTAGTTGATGATATTGATATCCGAGGGTTAAAGGTTATCCAGGACAAAAGAACGCACACTACATGCATGGTGTCGTCTGCATAGCTAAGCGCTCGAACGCAGCTGGTATAATATGCATGTATAATATGCCCGGGTAGGCCTATACATGTACTAATTTGCGGTGGATCGTATACAAAATTAAAGTTTTCTATTATCGTGGGCCCATATTGAAAGAAATCTATTAGTTAATCCTTCTGTAATTGCATTTAAAGGTTATAATCGTTCATCTGTCTGAAAGCTAGATCAAATTAACCTACTTTAATTCATAAGGAAAGAGGCCTATATTGTATTTTCTGGAAGTTTAGCCGACTGCTATATGGTGACAGTGGGCATGGCTAGATAAATTAACCATGATCTTCTGTTTTAAATATATGTACTGTGTCTAGCTCAAGTGGGATGAAGATAGAAAGAGAGAGAGAGAGACAGAGAGAGAGAGAGGGGGGGGGTGGGGGAAGTGAGCATGAACAACTGGCCTTGCTTCGCGATAGCTCTATGGTATAAAGCTACTCGGAAATAATATATTGCTGTTCCGCACCATACATTTGCATCATGTGGAAAAAAAAATCACTATTAGGAATAATATACCATCTTTCATAGTGCAAAACAAAAAGTGTATGATAATCGGATGTATTAACTTTTGTGAAGTTTGTGGGAGGTTAATACGAGGGCCTGCGCGTATAATAAAGATTCTTACAAAAGTCTACATTTGCCGAGGCTAGTTAAAAAACTCTTTTAGATAGACCTATTAGTCCGTGATCTAACTCAGACTGCACAAAATGGACAATCTAAATGTTTAAAAACCAGATAAAACAGAAACAACAGTTTTACAAATTTAAACTGAAAATGAAGTATCCGAGAAAATACAATGTTTCTCTCTCTCGATCTTCTATCTTATCCTTTCTTCCTGTCTCACTTTAGCAGAAATTGACAATTCAAACAACCTCATTTTATCATTGCCTATTATTGTAGAAGTCGAAAGAACTTTTGAGAAGGGAATCCTAGAAATAAATATTGTTTCATTGCATCATAAATATTAATTCAATAAAGCTCTTTCAGAAGAGTGAAAGCAGAAAATATTTTTACGAATTTAAAGTGACCTGAAGTATCCAAGAAAAATAAATACTTCTCTCTCTCTCTCTCTCTCTCTATCTATCCCCTCTTCCTCTCCCCCCCCCCCCTCAATCTTCACTTTAGCAATCATTAAACCGAGTTCAAACAACCTCATTATGTTAAGGTGTCTTTTGTTGTTATAAATCTAATCGATTTTATGGAGATACCCTTTTATTTTTAAGAGCATCATGAATACTGTTTATTCTCTCTTATTATTTTAAATGGATGATGAATGAGTTTGAATTCATAAAAATCAAGAGATAATTCCATTATTCTTTCTCCTGTTACATATTCCATTCATACCTCGGGAAACATTAGGCTGGTGACCTACAACACTTAATACAACAAAATAAATACAAATTTGTTGGCAAAACAGTATTCCAATTATTTTCTTTGTATTTCATGCTCAATTTCAACACACATAATCGACTTGTGACTTCATCTTCATAAAATTCTGTCTCATCTCTTACATTTGTCACACACAAATACATTGTTTCATTATAACACAATGTCAGGAACCTACTCAAGATTTGAATTCTTGAAAAATGCAATGCTTACTACATGTACACTGCAGTCCAGTCCATAATATAACTATTTGAATGATTTCCAATTAGAGGGGACAATGAGACATTAGATCAAGTTTCTGAATAATAATCATTTTATGATTAGAAATGATGATGACATTGTCTGTTTGGAGCCAGGGGGTATCGGGTTATATACTTCTACTTAGAGTTAATGCCCTTCTAGATCTGAACAGACAACATGTACATTCATTTATTTATTTTAATCTTAAGGAAATTGTTGTGATCTCATCTAAATTGGCAAGACCTTTTGATTTCACTATTAATAATCTTCTTACATAACCACATCATGTTGCATTGAGATAACATAAGAACATCTGTAACATCTTTTATGTGACTTAGATATTCACTTTTGGTATACCTACAATACTTTCTTCTCTAAAGCCCCGTCTTAATAGAACTTTTTCGATCTCACCCGAGCGACATGTGGATGAGAAACAGTGGGGGGTCTGATCGTAAAACACGGGATGAGCTTTTGGACACCGTCTTAATCAGCCATCTGCAAAAACCTCAACCGCACCTCCCCCATCGCGATCAGCTGGCGCGCGCTGTGTACATGTATACATTTTTTCACGGCGATGACGTAATTTACCCGGTAAATGTCACAATATCAAACACCAAAATATCACCCTGGCTCGTCTAGGGTGAGATTTACCTCGAAATTGTCCGGACGTTACCCGATTGACGCGTCTAATTGGAAGTGGTTCAATGTCATCCGGACAACGTCCGGACGTCACCGCGACTTTATTTTCCAGTTAAGACGAGGTTTTACATACATGTTATATGTTTGGAGAAGGCTGAGGGAAAACCAATAAAGTCAAGAAGGGAAAAAAAATAGAAAATTAGCTCAAAGAAGTTTTTTAAAAGTTATGACACAACTATAAAAGACAAATCGTTGTAAATTCAGAAATCCCATTTGCAATCTTTATCAATACATAAGTAACCATTTCATGTTCATTTCATTGCTTGTTTATACCTGCACAAAATAAAATTTTGTACGCTAACAAATATTGAAGGACTCTTTGTGGATTCTAACAAAATCAAATAGAACTGACACATCTGCAAACAAACACAGATACAATAATCCCAGCAGAACTAAGTAAAGATACTAATAAAAACTAAACATGCCTTTTTTTTTCATTGTGGTGGTTCTGCTGATAATAGATTATCTTCCTATCGTAAGGATATATATTTTTTTTTTAGTACAATTATGTTTAACATGAAAAATTAAAAATATATGGTTAGGCCTATATAAATGCATGTGAAACTATATTTTGAAACTACAACTATAAAACCACTTTGTCAGTGAAAACATCAGTTTTCCTTCCACTTTATAATCTGAACACCAACAAATATTAGCATTCCATCCAAAATTTGACATGTTGGAAGTTCTGTTGGAAGTTTAGTGCACTAACAAATATTATACTGCGAAGTCCTTCATTGATCAGCTTGAAGCAACATAAAAGTGGATATCTGATTCAAAATACAGTGCTAAATTTGTTTATGATAAGAAAGATGGAGAATGAAAAGTATTCACACATAACAAACAAGAATTATCTTTTAGCATCTGTAAGACAAAGGGGACAGCAGAGTTGTCACATGAATATAACAACTTAAATTCCACATCGTAGATTAAATACTGGCTTTTGTAGAATATAATATTCACTTAGAAAACTCCTATAATTTCTCTTTTTAATCATGTTACAAAGCCAACAAGTTGTAGAAGTAGTCCATTTGAAGTAACAACATCAATTGATGTCTTCTATGGTATGTCCGATTCTCAACACAACATTAGCAATGTCCACAGCCACACAAAATGAATTGAACCTCACAGCAAACAAGTCTAAGATCAGACCCGTCCCATCCCCATCTTGACTCTTAGAAGGCTCATGACCAGACATCTCATCTTGCACTGCAGTCCGATTGCTGCAAGTGGGATGCAACACATTCCTAGCATGATTTTCCTGTTCACTGTTACTGTCTTCCACAGTCCTGCTTGCCTCTTTGGCAGCTTGCTTCTCCTTCCTGTACACACCATACTTCAGGTTCCCCACAATGCTCCATGAGCTATTCTTGAGCTGATTGGCTACCTTCATGCCACAGCCACACCTACCCAGTCTCATCAGCCAATCAGAATCTGCCATGGCTTCTCTTGGGATGCACCAGCTGTGATGAGATGTGGAGTCTGTCACAAGATGGCTGCCATCATCATGAACAGTTGCCATGGAGACTGCCTCCAAGCAGGATGCAAATTTCTCAGCTAATTGTAGAAACTGGGTTTTAGAGCATCCTATATCTCTCCATATGCTCTCATCCACATGTGATACCTAGTATACAGACAAAACATATTATTATTAAAAGACAATTATTTTTTTTAAGAGTTCAGCTATTTTGTTTTACTATTTCAAGTTGGCAAAACTTGAAAAGGGATAATGATAATACCTTCCAAATTCTCATTGCATGACAAATGTTAGGAGAATGTCTTACAGACTGAAATATTCCCATTCTTAATCAAAGAAATCACTAAAATATTGTCTTTCTTTGTTTACATGCAAAATATCACCAACTAATAAACATGTATAATTAATTGTGGTTGTAAAGTAAATTTATGATGCATGCTTCTAGAAACATCTTTTTTTAATTGCTGAAGGTAAATTGTATACAAGTAATTATATAGTAGACTCATTAAGGGAGAGAGAAGTTACATTCTGACCTGTTCTCTGATATGATGAGCAAGGATAACATTCAGACAGCCTGCTCCAGGGACAGCGGTGGGGTTACTCAAGGTCAACGCCAGGGTATGATGAGCCACCTCACAAACATGCTGCTCAAAATCAAAGGAAAAAATGCAATGTTAAGGATTCCACTGTAAAGTAAGATAAGCAAAGCAGGGAAATTTCTAACAAGATTATAAATAAATATTATCTATACAAAACGTACCCAAAGATCAGATTGGGTTTGTGTTTTACAATGACTGTTTGATTTTGTAAATCAAACAGCAGAAGTTTTTACATACCAAGGATCACTTTCACTGCGATCTGGGAAAAGCTCACTGATCTCTGGGATAACTGTAAAAATCTTATCATCCATTTGATGAAAATTACTCAAACATAATGTATGTACATGTACATCAATCTACAATAGCTTGGTCCTAAATTGTTAAGATAAGATTTAAACAACGATTTCACTACATTGATTTATGGTAGTCAGAAGAAAACGTTTGCATGTGTCTGTTGTCTCAAATGTGTATCTCCTGCACCCAAAATTCTGTCCTTAATCAATATCAAGCCACATGAAACTGTTACTAAGCTTCATCATCATATCACAATTACCTTCATTTCTTCCAGGCTTTGTTCTGTGTGATTGCACAATACCAGTGTACATAGTGAAGAAGTGCTTTGGAGATGAAGATAGCTTTTACCAAACACGACAAGGTGCTTGATGTCCGTTACATAACCAAAACTGGATGGTGGGACTGCACAGCTGAAAGAACCTAGTATCTCTGCACCTAAATGGGAGAAACAGTTATGGCAAAGAGCTGAAATGCAGTAATTGTTTTGGGACATTAATACCAGCTGTAAATAATTTTTGGTTTTAATTTGTTCAGACAACTCATTAACTCGTTCTCCAACATGTGATACATGTAAATGTATGACCTTGATCCTATCCATTCAGTACATAAACATAACCCATGTTTCAGTAAGGTTGAAAACTATCCAGATATTCTGTATCTTGGCTTACTGTATTCTTTTAGAAGCATGGTAAAAAATGAAAATGAATCATACAAATTATGAACGCTCAGTTTCGGAATGATATAAAAGGCTTTGAAAACAAATTGAAGTAACAATACTCTATATGAGTTTCAATTCATGATGGTCTAATATCATATCAAGTGTGCACCTGTAAAGATGAACAGTAAACATGGACTTTAATTATTTCTTGAAAACCTTTACATATTTTTGCTAATTTTAAAGAGATCATTTAACAACAATCCAAAATTAACATAATAATAATGCTCTAATTACTTACCAGTGACCTGCTGTACAGCTCTAATATGGCGAATGGACAGACGGTCAATAGACAGAATACCCTTCTGTCTGAGGTAGCGTTTGATGGATGGATGAATGACCTTCTGACATGCTACTAATCCAACTCTCGTGTCCACTAGCTGATCAACTAGATCCCTCATGGCCTGGAGATTACTAGCTTCAGCTGTCAATCCAGGAGACAACTCAAATCTGAAATGACAAAAATCATATCGATTGATTATTTCTAAACAAAGTCCTGTATATAATTAATGCCCAATCATTTCATTTTTACAGGCTTAATAATGATAAAGTGTATAATTGAGGAAGAGAATTATACATTTCAAATGCCCCCTTGATTATTACTTGAAACAAAAAAAGAACATGGAACATTTGAAGAATTGCTGAAGCCATTTATCTTGTCTGTACAAAGTCGTATGTAACCAAATGTGGTACTCGTGAAAGTTACCAATAAATCTGCTGCCATCATTTTGTCACAACTTGTTACTAATCTGATAATTCTGTTCATATCCTTTTCCTACAGTCAACCTTCATTCAACACTGGTATACTGGATATATATATATTAAGAAGAAGATTTACCCAACATCAGCATATTCCTCACTATCCCCTGACAGGGATATGTTGAACAGCACTACTCTAATACAGCCAGCATCACGTCCTGAGTCTATCCTAGGCACTTGAAGATCTTTAGTATAGAATGCAGGAATATCTGGGGCTTCTATCAGAATGCCTTCCAGGATGTGAGACCCTGAAGGCATCTCCCCCTCAACTCCAATGACTTGAACCTCGGGAATGGTCAATGGCTGACCATGGTCCACACTGGGAATGGAGGATATGAAGGACTGTACAACAAGACTAGCTATTAGGTGAAGGTCCTGCTTGACCAGGCCACAACCTGGCTTTGAAGCAATCACTGATCTAACAAGTGACAAGAGTGTCTCCATGGATGCCACATTGATAGGTATCCTAAAGATATCGCTGGACATCATGGTCTTTTTGCATATGTCCTGCATTACTTCATTGACGGCTACACTCATCATGGGATGCAGTCCAGTCTCCCAGCAGCCTTCAATCAATGAACACGCCAGAAGAGCAGCATGGAGACCTCCATCTGAATACACCTTGAGGTGTCCCTCCACAGCTGCAGAAAGCATCTTCAGCACGGGTTTGGACAGTGACAAGGTCGACAGTAGTCTCTGGCTGGAGGAAGTCAGGGTAACATGGCCTCCACACTGGTTCTGAATCATTTTCAAGTGTCCTTGAGGCCCATAGCAAGACTTGATGATGGATTTGAAGGCTTGGAGAGCCTGGATGTTGGCTGGATGTTGCTGGTCATAGGAGCTGATGTGAGACTGTTCCTTGGGAGTTTGATAGGCCATACTTGCTCCAGGAGACACAGCACACATCTGAAAACAGAAGAGAAAACATCTCTCAATAGGCTACATTGATTTAGTCAAGGAAGAGATCTTTACTGGTGTAACTAGCTGTCAACCAACTTAAATGTAAGATCTTCCTACCAATTTAGATGTAAACTTGATGTGGGGAGAGGGGATTACTTGTCCCCTCTGCTAAAAGTGTACCAATAACCTAAACAAATAGTTGGTGTATGGCTAGAAGTAATATTTCAAGCTCATATTTCTAATACAGTATAGACACATGGAACGATAATACACAAAACAAAATATTATTTTGGATGATTGGTACACTTTAAAGACACTCTTTGTTTGATATATCACAAACAAATATAATCCTAAATACTATTACATTTATAAGTTTTATACAGTTTGGAGTATTCAATATTTCCTTTTATTAAAGTAAACTACTTCTGCTAGTGTATTTCTTTGGTTCTTCCACTAAAATTTAGACAGTACAAATAGAAACAGAATGAGAAGAAACTAACATTTTATCTACATGAAAGATGGCCTGTAAATTCCTGAGTTGTCAGTCTGCCTAACATACAGCAAGTACAAAATGTTGTCCCATCTCAGAACTACTAAAATCCACAAAACCCTCAACAAACTTGCTGGTTGATTAACGGCACACACAGGTACATCAATTAACACTTTACCTTGATATGTGCTTTGCTAGATTGTATTACTTCTCATCTGTTCTTATAACCATTACAGTCTCCTGCTCCTTCCTGTCCTCAGCAGTGGCTGATGTCTTCGCGATCTTCTGCACATTATAGATCACTACGTGAATCGTGGCCAACGTAATTAAAGCACCAACAAATCTGTGCTGCGTAATAGTCCTTCCAAGACCCATGGTATACTGTCCTTCAGTGAAATTAAATTTGAAATGTCTTTGGCGTGTCCTAAATTTCAATTGATTGCACAGATGTTGGCTGATATGACTGACCGACTGACCTGTAATGCAAGTTATGGAAAAATAACCGTTTTATACTGAATGCCGGAACCATTGATTCTATATACATGTATGTAATATTGATCAAGTATCTGTAGTGAAACATGTTGCATATTATCTGCTGAGAGGCATAATAAATGGCTCTATGTAATCTAATGCAGAATTAACATCCTTCTGGGTCTTAACAGACAATATCTTTCACTTTGTATAATTAATATTTTTTAACATGGTCTAACATTGCCTAATTATAATAATCAAACAAGCACATATCATTTACAGAAAAAGGAAGACAACATTTTCACTGTGTAGATTGATTACTTGCAATGAAACTTCAGTGCTACTTGAGGAATTCCATAAGTTGTCACAAAGCATAACAACAATACCCTGGCATGAATTTTGATGTCTCCATGAAACAACTTTAAAAACCTGTAGACAATTCAGCATTAGCAAATTTTAATGGGTGTATTGTGAATTTTTTTGTGATACCTTTATCAAGCATAACATGCTGTTCGATTTAAGTCTGAAATACCCTACATTAATATTTTCATAACATTACAGATTGATTAAATACCTAATCTGCTATATTGACAAATTAAGTGATCTAGAATCAAAACATTAAACTTTATAATAACAAAAAAGGAAACAGAACTTAGCAAGTCTGAAAACCCATGAATTAACTGCCAAAAATAAACGTTATCTTAAGAGCTACAATGAACTTACAACTAATTGGCTTTTTCAGCTGGTGCTTTCAAAGCCTTAGATTTGATGTAGGATGGAAGAAGGTCTGAAACTGTCTTTTTTTCTCCTTTGTTGAAGACCGGATCATTAGCGATGTGAAACCAACCAACATGAATTAGTGAAAGACTAATAAGACCTACGAAGAGCACTTTGTTGCGAACAAAAAAGTTCTTCTTTGGTGGGTTCATGATGTACACAATGTTTCCTTTCCCTTTGTTGGGGATAAATGTTGATGCAGCAGCAACAAACTGGAATGAAAGAGTAAAATAAAAATGAGTTTGGTTAATAAATTCAGATGAAGTTCACTATAATTCTTGTTCAGAATTTGTTTCTGTACTAGATCTAGGCCCACTCCAGCAAAGCATAGAGAGTCAATCAATGCGTATTGACCTCTAGCACTGCATACTTGCTGTGAGGCAGGTATTATTAGATATACACACAAATATACACACCACACAATATTGCATAGACTGCAGTCACTGCACACAATAGATTGGGCTGATCGACAAATTTGACACTAGAGTACTTACAATTTGAATTTTTAAATTATTCTTTTTAACATCATTGGCCCAAATTCACAAAGGAGGTTTGTCGTCAAACCTCCTTTTGTTTTGACAAACCTCCTTTTGTTTTGACAAACCTCCTTTTGTTATTTACAAACCAGGTTGGTAAAAATTGCGTCAAAACGCGTCACATGACGTACATAAACCTCGGTTTGTCGACAAACCTCCTTTGTGAATTTGGGCCACTAAGTTTAAACAAATGTATTTTACTGCTCTTTAGGTGTCATCAATTGTCACTAAGAGTGAAATCAGTTGAGTTTTGTACAGTGGTGTTTGAAATGTTGAGAATCAAAAGCATTTGAGATTTAATATGTAATTCTTTCTGGTATGTTTACTACTCACCATGTAAATGATGTTTTCATGTATACCTATGTATGTCTAGAGTTCATATATGTATTTTATGTTATGCAGGGCCCCCAAGAATAACAGTATTTTAACTACTGATGGGGCTACAATGTTGAAATAAAACGAAATAAATAAAATAAATAAATAAGTCTATGGCGGTGTGACCAAAGTTCGCGCGTGACCAAAGTTCGCTTTCTCAAAAAGTCGGTAAGATTTCGAAAATCTGATATCACCAATGGAAAGAGGGTCATAAAATTACCCAGAAACGAAATTTTCTTTAGAATTGGTTGCGAAATTGTGAAAATATTGACAAAAGATCGGCAAATTTTGCAGTTATTTGCGTCCGTTCCGAAAAATTATCAACTTACCGATAAGGTCTGGAAATCTTCATTTTGAGATCAGAAATCCTCAAAATTGTAAGTAAAGAGTGGTACTAACTGATTGTACGATATCTTGTCTTGCAAATTATGATATTACCTTATTTTTGATGGATCACATTTTTTGATAAATCAACTGTAAACCACCGTGCGTGAAGTTAGGTCTCATTGTTTTTACGACTTTTTTAGATGCAGCGCGCACGCACGATCGGACATCGAATTTTTAGATCGCGATATCTCCGAAATCCTTCGACGGTAAATTTTTCTAGTTGAACCAATCTGTAGTAAAAAACTTTGCCGTCCATTTGGTAATAAATGAAATAAATAAAGTTGTGTAGAATGTGAGAAATCATAGATCGAATATCACATTTTGTAATATGTTCTAAAATGTGCGCGAACTTTGGTCACCCCTTCATACTACACACAGCCAGGATAGTGATGCTCGCGCGCCTATGACTATGTGTGGATCTACTGTCCAATTTGGTTGTTGTTCCTCCAAAAGATTCCTAGTGGAATTTAAACATGCAGCATGAATTATCACAGCCAGTGCGAGTCTAAAATCAACAGATCACATATCACACATGCCACAAACAAATCCACATTCCTTCAAGATATACATAAGCTGATCCTTTCGGATAAAATGGTCGTCAATTCTTCTTCCACTGCCATGGATTGACCTGGTAATTATATTCAGATTTCTGACCACAACACACACATATTAACACGTCGGACTATCAAATAAGAAGAGGAATCACTCTTGGCTCGATTCCTTCGGTAATATCCTACAGTTCCCTAGTTTACTCACAATTAATGTTAAACTTTAATAATATTTTCCTATTTATTCCGAAAACAACACGAATATATTGACTTCATACCTCTACAAATTTCCTCCCACTGCGATTAGGGGTGTCTGGTCAGTTCGGGTGAAGCTTTTCTTCACACACCTAATCGGAGATGAAGGTAGCCAATTCAATGTGTAAAAATTGCCAATTTGATAAGTGTAAGGATCGCATTGTACACATACAACCGCTATACTACACACACGCAATATATTCTTTATGTATTGTATCCGTCAGGCATGATCAGTGCAACGATGGCTGGCTACCAATTAAAATAGGCATGGTGGTCGGATATAATGAATGTAGATGATGGAGGGGGGGGGGGGGGGGTAGCGCAGTACTTAGGGGCAAATCAAAGAATTATTATAAGACCTCACCTCATGTATGTTAGAAATTAAAAAGTTATTATCTTCTTTTGAATTGCAATATATCCCCGCACCATAATTATAAGTCATGCATGAATGTTATTTGTCATATGTTATATATTTCACCATTATGTCACCGTCATGTACATATTTTCTATGGATATAATTTTTTCACGATCTCAACTCTTTACCACATCAGCGTCATGTACATTGTCTATGGATAAAGTGGAATATTAACTCTTCACCACCCTACGCTAACTTTTCACCACCCTAGCGTCATGTACATTGTCTATGGATAAACTGGAATATTAATTCTTCACTACCCTACGCTAACTTTTCACCACCCTATAGCGCCATGTACATTGTCTATGGATAAACTGCACTATTAATTTTTCACCACCCTACGCTAACTTTTCACCACCCTATAGCGCAATGTACATTGTCTATGGATAAACTGGAATAATTATTAACTCTTCACCACCCTACGCTAACTTTTCACCACCCTACAGCGCCATGTACATTGTCTATGGATAAACTGCACTATTAATTTTTCACCACCCTACGCTAACTTTTCACCACCCTAAAGCGCCATGTACATTGTCTATAAACTGGAATATTAACTCTTTACCGTGTTAGTTTGTGTTAGTTATGCCTATGCCTTCACGGTGACCATATGGTAGGAATACTCCCCAGCAGAGGCCGCCCTCCCGGGGGGGGGAGGGGGGAGAGTAGGGGCACAGTGCCCCCCCCCCACTTTTTCAAGCACCCGAAAAGTGCCCCTTTTTACAAAGGAATAGTGCTCCTTTTACTCTGATAAGTGCCCCTTTTATTTTGACACGTGCCCCTTTTCCTTCGACAAGTTCCCATTTTCCATTGCAATAAGTGTCCATTTTCCATTCTCGTAAGTGCCCTCTTTAATAGTACTAGGGTGTGTGTCGGGAATTGGAGACCCTTAAGCACATTTCCATAATTGACATAAACATGAAAAATGTTACACATACAGAAAGTTTTGTTTTCTCTTTAGTAACTTCTTCTCTTTATTGGGAAACAAAATTGTGGTCATGATGTAACTGATTAATAAGATAAAAATAATTTATGACGTCATCACCAAAGGTCTCTCATTACCAACATGCGTAGGTAATAAGGGACAGTTACAAATCAAGACATTTCAAATCAAGACATCAAGACAAAAATGGGATTGTTATAGTTAGTTCAAACACTTTTTGATATTGCAATTTAGTATGGGCCACCAGCGCCAAAATCAAAATCGTAAATTGGCGTAGGGTCCAGGGCATGAGTCTCGATAGGGGGTCAAGGGGCTGAGCCCCCGGAAGCTCAGGGGTTTTAGGTATTAAATTACGGTTAGATGAGCATCCAGGGGCCCTCTTTAAGGCCATTGACGTGTTCCAGGTGGGGAGCCCCCAGAAGCCCAGAGGTTTTAATATTTAACTACAGTCAGATGAGCATCCAGGGGCCTGCCCTATAGTGGGTCCAGGGGGTAGAGCCCCCGGAAGCTCAGGGGCTTAGGTATTTAATTACGGTCAGATGAGCATCCAGGAGCCCGCCTTAGGGACATTGGTGGGGTCTAGGGGCATAACCCCCGAAAGCTCGGGGTTTTTTAGGTATTTAATTACGGTCAGATGAGCATCCAAAGGACAGAGCCCCCGGAAGCTCAGGGGTTTTAGGTATATTACGGTCAGATGAGCATCAAGGGGGCCGCCTTAAGGCCCTTGGTGGGGTTCGGGGCGGAGCCCCCTTAAGCTCTGGGGTTTAAGGCATTTAATTACGGTCAGATGAGCATTTTTTATACCTTATTTGTGACATTGGCAGGTCACTTATTTTTTCTCTCCGTCTTTCTTTCTTTTTCTCTTTAACATACTTTTTCAAAAAGTGAGGTGGGGGGGGGGGGGGGAGGCTCGAGCCCAGCCACTTTGCAGACCATGACATAAAGGCTTCTAAATAAGCGTATTTTTCGCTCGACTGTAATTTGGGAATTTCTTATCGTCCAACAAACGTATAAAAAGGTAAGACTTACAAAAAAAAATGGAGAAAAAATACCGGAAAATCATGTCATAACAACAACATTTGTAAATCACTGGTATCGAATAAGAAATACACCCCCCCCCCCCATCAGTACGCCAGCGTTCGGGGGCTCATGTCTTCTCACCCCTATAACAAAACAAAAAACAACAGACGCTTTTCCCACACACATATGTCCATGATATGCGCTATTATAAAGACCTCCATTGATAAATACCGTATAGGTGGCATGCGCAATGTTTATGAAATTTAATTCCTGTGAACGTTTCTTTTCTTTGAATGGAATTGTATATGTGATTTAATTCAGGATTTTATTATTGTTATGTTCTTTTGCGTTAAAAATACAAACCATGTTTACTCCTTCCTTTTTTGGGGGGGGGGGGGGGGGGGGGTTTTTTTGTGGGGGGGCGTTTTTTGGGGGGGGGGCAAAATGCGTTTGTTATGGGGGTGTAAATGCCCCCCGCCCCCTGCCCCCCCCCCCCCCCCCACTTCAGGCGCCTATGATATAGATGGTAATATCAAACTTATCTATTAGAGAAGAAAGTTGCGACGAAAGTGCGTCTCTTTGCTCATTTACCACTCTCCCTTGTGACTATGACATTCATAGTTAGCAACTGGGAAAGTATTACATTCAGATACTGTACAAGATTGTACATTAATTTCAATTTTAAAGAGATCATAATGATGATTGTTAGCCGACACAAACAGCCTTTTTACCA